ATTGCAAAACTCCTTGAGAAGTCTACCTTTAGATGAGTACTCCTCATTTGAAGTACTTGGGAGTAAATATATTTCAGATTTATGAGTTTTTCCAGATTTTACAATATTTGTATGGAATTTACTGATTCAGCATCCTTATCCTAAAAATTTGAACCAAAATATTTCCTTCGCTGGTCAAACTTGCAATCTTGGTGCCTCAGCTTCCCAGAGTGCTGAGATCACAGGTGGGTGCCAGCACAGCATGCTCACAATATATTGATTTTTAATGGCATGCTCAAAATACATTGATTTTAAGTTTTCCTTAAGGACTATACATGAAACAGAAAAATGCCACACAGTCTTATCAACTTGGCCACTTGGTTTTAGAGGTGGTGCATTTTCTGAAACAGCTCTGCAGCCCAGGCTGGCCTCAATCTCATGGGGATCCTCCTAGCTCAGCCTCATGCGTTTCCAAACCCAACCACACCTGTTATCATGTAAGAGCCCAGAGCTATACAAATCTGCCAAAGTCCAGCAGTTTTAGCAAATGACAACCACTTAACAAACTTCTAACATAAGATTTTCTGACTAGGAGAAGACAGGTCATGAAATTTTCTAATCTACAGAAAATGCATCCCATTTACTTAATGAATACATGGCATTAATGAATCTTCAGAACTGACAGCTGCCTTTAAATAAAATAATCTTAGTTTAATTATAACTTTCAGTAATTTTTTTCAGTAATTAAAAAACAGCCAGCTCTTTCTTAAAAATGAAAGGGTATAAGGGAAGAAGTCAGTAATCAGCCACAACTTAAATTTAGGTCAAATCAGAAACCATAAACCTATTTGTAAAAATTCATTAAAAGAACAAGGATACAATGAGCAATTAGTGAATTCCAGGCAGAAGAATAAGATGATATTGTAAGATAATAATGGAAATTATCAATGTTCTTCAGCGTTCCTCAACTTATGATGGGGTTTCATCTCAATAAATATACCATAAACTGAAAATACTGTTAAAATCTGTAATGTATAAAATATACTAACTCACCAAGTATTAGTTTAGCCTAACTATATTAAATATGCTCAAAAAACTCACATTAGCCTATAGCTGTATAAAATTCAACACAAAGCTTCTTTACAACTGACTCTCATGCATTTCACTGAATCCTGCATCACAGAGACAGCCACAGAGAACTGTTACATGAGTATGCTTCTGCACCACTGTGAAGTGCAAAGACGCTGACCCATTAAGGTGGGGGGGTCACGTACCTCAAAATGCTGACTACTAGCAGACATAATAATTCAGGAAAACAACTGCAGGTAGACTTTTGTCCCCGTTTTTTGTAATCAATATAACACGAGAAAATAATTCATTTAATATTCAATGCTTAACTGATGCCCAGACTTTTCTGGTCTTTTACGTTTCAAGACAAAAACTATTAAAGTTCTTCTCATTCACTTATGTTTCTTTCTCTGACCTCCAATAATTTAAGTGCTGCTTTTAAAAGTTATAGTCAACATGGAAGCCCTAAAGGGGCTCCAAATGACCAGAGATTAAGGATGAGGATAAATAGGGGCTGGGGATTTAGCTCAGCGGCATAAGCGCCTGCCTTCAAGCAGGCAGTCGTGAGTTCAATCCCTGGTACCGATAAAAATGAAAAAGACAAAAAAAAAAAAAAGGATGAGGATAAATACTTCTCCTTTGGCAGTTGCTAGGACACCAATTAATCATTCTGAAAATTAGGAAGTAAGGTAAAGAACAAGCCTTATTTCTTATTCCTCTATGAACTGGCAGGCAAACTTCACAATCGGGAAAAATTCTTCATAGAGAATTTCCAGGTAAATGTAGAATGACTAAGTTATCAACAATTTGCAACCTCTAAAGATGAAAACACTTAGGTAATGAACAAAAGGTTGCTAAAATCAGGTAGATTAGATTGCAAGTTTACTAATGCAGACAACCAGATGCATCACCTCATTTGATACCACAGAAAAATACATGGAACCACATCTTGGCAAAATAAACCAACCAACTTATCAACCATCTGACCAAGCCTCTAGATCAAATTCCACTTACAGGAAAAACCAAGAATATGAAAAAGTCGGCAAAACCAAGAATATGAAAAATTCAGCAGGACAAAGTTTCTTTGACAAATGGAAAGAAAAAAAACAACTATAGATTAAAAGACATCTCAAATGAATGCAATGTACAGGCCTTATCTGGACTCTGATTTAAACAAAACAACAGTATAAAAGGTATTTACATAAAAAGGAAAACTGGAATGAGCAATTATTAATTGAAAAAGATATCCTCATCACATCATGCTTATGATTTTTTTAGTTCTTAAAAATGTCTCCGCTGGGCTGGGGATTTAGCTCAGGGGCATAAGCACCTGCCTTGCAAGCAGGTGGTCGTGAGTTTGATTCCCGGTACCAATTTAAAAAAAAAAAAAAAAAGTCTCAGCTATTATATATATGAAATAAAAGAATAGTTTTTTTTAATGCTTTTAACATCAATAATTTAAAAATTGGTTGCAAACCTGAACAAAATTTTTAAATTATAAGAAATGAACATTCTAAACTTATAAATTAAAACAACTACTCTTCAATCAGAAGTGACTACTGGCTATCCTGTTAGAAATATTTATGTTGATGTTGATGTTAGGGATTTTCTATGAATTTCAAATAACACAGAAAAAAGAAATGCTAGGTTAAAAAAAGTTTAATATATTTCATCAAGTATTTGAAGAATGCAGAACTCAAGATTTATTGATAGCTATAATGGTTGTAAATGCTCTCATCTCAAAATAAAACATCCTAATAGCCTAGAATTAATTCCAATCAATTCAAATGAGATAGGAATTATCTTACGACTATATTATTAATATGTGGGCTGAGTAAAATGATTAATAAAAATGAACAATTCAAATCCATTTTTATAGATATTTTATGTACCAGGAGTCTTAACACTTAATTCAAGAAGAGATTCATTTCAAGACTATTTATTTATTTAGAGACAGGGTTTCACTATGCAGTTCAGGCTGGCCTTGAGCTCACTTTGTAGCCCAGGCTGGTCTTGAACTTGCAACAATCCTACTGCCTCAGCCTCCTGAGTGCTGGGATTACAGGCGTGAGCCACCATGCCCGGCTTTATTTTAGATTATTTAATAACACAAGTTTATGGAAATCTGACTCAGCATTACTTTCAACTTGGCTGGGTCTATGGGCTGTTAACAACACTTGCCAGTCACATTACAAATAAAGCTAACAGAAACTGGAGGATCACTAAACAAAATAATAGGAAATAATAGTAGAGTTCTACTAAAATACAGAATTACAAGACTAAGTTAAACTAAGGATTTAACTATGGGAACAAAATATTAAGACTCTTGTACAGATCTACTGGCTCAGGTAATTGTTTCCTGTAACTGACTAGAATTCCTGTCTTAGCAGCTGGATTCTAAATAAAAGTCTGTAAGAAGTAGAGCAGTATGTAACTAGATTGCAGCTTTATTACAGTCAGCTGGGAAAGCCACTTAAAGCCAGCTTCTGAGCAAGCCATGTACAACAAAGCCATTTACACAGGCTGTAAAGCACAACACAAGCAGTAACAGTTGAACAGGAATCTGATCTCAAAACTTACCTATGAGAAGGTGACAGGACATGACAAATATAATCTTAACAATAAAACACAAAACGATTATGGTAACTCTATTGCTAGATTCCTTATGCCCTAAATTTCTGGGTCCACTTCACAGGCGTGTATTATTATGAGGAAGGAGCGTGTCTGAGTAGGAATACAATGCAGGGCCTGAGCAGCTTGGAACAGATGACAAATGAAAGAAGGTATCAAGCCAGAACTAAGCAGGTCTGAAGCTGACACGAAGAGCGCTGCAAAGCAGGTTTTATGATGCCATCCAAATAAATTAATTGGTTGTATATATTTAATTATCCCTTAGAAAGCAAATCTCCCAAACACCAAAGGTCCGTAATCTGAAGGACCAGAGCTTTTAGAAACAAGAACCCTAGCCTACCATATCATAACATAAATTTAAATGATAATCACTGCACCAGATACTTTCTTGTTATATGGACAAAGACTGTATTGACAAGCCTGAGGTAAAAGTAGTTATACTTGCATGACTGGGAGTTGGGATCAAATAGAATTGTTAATTTATAAAGTCTCTGGTTACAACAGCAACATTATATTTTAAATCAAAACCTCATTTAAATGTTTCCAAGCACATAAAAGTCAGCAACAGAATCATGCAGTTTCAGCTGTGGCAATTAGAAAAACAAAAATTCAAAACCTAATATTTAATGAAATAATTTCTTTGAAAAACAGGGATTTATAGTCTAATGTCCAAAAAGCATTCAAAATATACTGTTTACCAGAGAGGGATAAACAGTAACTACATGTTGAATAATCTGAAGGTGGGACAATTTTAAAATATAGATACAAACAAAAGTTTTAAATGCTCCAAGGGATACAACAAGACTAAAACATTTTTTTCCTTAACAACATATTCAGAAGTTAGAGAAGTACACGGCCCAAGCCAATCAGCTTCTCTACTGTATAAGCATACTAAATTCACACCCTTGACACAAGTCTTGTAAAATGGCCAACCATTTGAAGGCCAAAATGAAAGTCATTGTACTAACCTAAATTATTTAAGTTTGATTATTGTGCAACTAATGTTTTTCTTATGGTGTGCAACAACTTTTGATAGTTGACTTTTCTAATTCTCTAAAACACACAAATCAAAAGCACAGACAAGAAAAAACACACCATTATACTTCAGAAAAGAACATAAGATATAATAGGGGTCTTTACCTTACTGTACATTATTAGACCCTCGCTTTGAAATTTTCAGTAGAGCTTTCAAGAACAGCTAATATCCAAAAGCAATTTGGCACGTTTTATCCAACATCAAATATTTTACATATATCATAAACACACACAAACACACATACATGTATATATACAAATAAAAAGGGTTTCGGTTTTTTTTTTACCTAAATGCAAACTGGATGAGGATCCATGTGATGAAAGTGATGGCGGTGGCGTAAGTGAATGTCCTGGAGTTTGGCTTGGCAGAGGCATGCCTATTGGACTTGGAGAGGAGGAAAATCCCAGACTATTGTAAAATGGTTGCCCTATGGGTGCTAGGCTGCTACTAGATCTTTTGTACAAGTCAGAGCTAGTAGATAGAGACTCTCTCCTTGTGGCACTACTACTTGCAGAACTGCCAACTGAAGAAGAAATAAAAAAAACCCTAATTACATACAGTGTTAACTGAATAAAACCTACCCCCAACTCTTGCTGGGCAACAACAGAAGTGATCACAATAATTATTTTTAGAAACATTATGGAGAAGATAATTACTGTGATAACTTTATGCACTAACTTATTAATCATAAAAGGGCATAAATGCACCCCAATAAAGTAACCAAATACTTAACAGACCAGTCGTGCTTCATTATTTCACTCATATTTATTGCTGATATGTATGATTACTGTGCTTTAAAACCCTGGTATGATTTGAAAATCCTGGAATTGCAATTGCCTACTTTAAGACATGCTAAAGATTCAACTCCAGTAAGGTTCACCTTTGGTATCATCCTAATCCCTTAGGTTCTTAGACTCAGGGCTAAGATTAGATTTATAAATGGAATATTAAAACATTTCCTTCACCATTCACAACTCATCTGGCTGCTGTGCTCAAAACATATCCCTTTAAATCCATATTGGCCCGAATATCAGTCAGTTGTGAAATACAGATGGGAGCTAACTCTTGAGTATTTCCCATATTACACATTTTTCCTATTCCTCAACCGTAACATTACAAAGTATGTCTATAAAAATACATTTTTTTTTGAAGACTATCACCATGCCAAAGACATACTCTCACTTCCTGTCCCCGGACTCTGCATTCTTCAGACCCCAGTACGCTCCTGAGCACAGCCGAAGTCAGGTGACACTGCCCCTCACGTCCTGCCTATCCTACTTCACACCCCGTGTCACCCTACCGGTAGACCACATGTTTTTATCTGTATTAACCCTCTTCATACTTTTTTCCTTTTTGTAAGCAGCAAAGTCATAAAATATCATGTAGGTCTTGGTGAGTCATGCATGTTTACAAGATAAAACCTAAGACCTGGATGTTAGCATCCATTCTGACACTCCAATTCTTTACTATGGGTAAAACTGCCAATTCTCAAGTCTCATTAAGAGTCATTACTTTTAAGTATACTATTTTCTCATTTCTAAGCACCAATCTTTTTTATGAATACCTTTATTCTAGTAGAATTTCACATGACAATTTCTTAACCTGTGAAATAAAATTTTGAAGGACAAACTCTATATTCGGACCAATATGGCAATTCTTTTCAAGGAATTGTAAAGTTGCTACTAAATCTTGTTTTCTAATCATACGTTATACACAAGTAGGCCATACAGGGAATAGATTAAAGAAACAATTAAGCAGAAGACATGATGGGTAAACCAAGTTAAGTTTATAACACAGAAATCAAAATTAGTGATTTTGCCACATTCAAAATTTTATAGAGAAAAAAAGTTCAGGTTCATGCTACTGAATTAGACAAAGAGATTATAATGCTTCTCAGCCTGTAATACCAGTCAATGTAGTTTCTGAAAAATTAATTGTATATTATATTTTTAAAATTTTATATTTAAAACATCATATAACAGGAAACTGCTAGGTAGCTATATGTATTTTAATAGCAAAAGTATATATAAATATTAATGTAATAAATAGATTTTGAGTTGGTTTTAGCAACATTGTCAATATATACTACATTAACTACACTAATTTAAAAGGACACTGTCAAAGTGATTTTCTGAAAACATTCACCTTATATATTTTAAATTTCTATTTGTTTCAAAAAACAATTTAACTGATAAAGGACAATAGCTCTAATGAGCGCACTGGTATTACTATTCCTCTGATACATAATCAAAGAAATTAGTTTTGAAACATACAATATTAACTTTCCTCTAAAAGAAGATGTCATGCTAAGCATTTAAAGTCAGGAATTATTTCTAACATAATGAAGCTGGCTCTTAAAGTTTCACTATATGCTAAATTACATGCAACATACAAAATAAAATGTACCTATGCTATCTAAGAAGCTAGACAGAATGGAACCACTAATCTGTTCACTTATTATGCATAAAATGCTAATTACAAACTTTCAATTGTAACAGCAATTCTAAAGTAACAGGTAATATAAATAATTATTTAATTACTGTATTACAATGGCTAAATTTCCTGGCCACCTAGTATCATAAGCTGGTATATTTAACAATGTTCAACATAATATAGGAAAGAGAAAAACTGTGTGCATATAATCATATTTTAGCTTTCATACACATACGCAATTATCACAGTGTGAAATAGCATTGAGTAGATTTGTTGTAAGAGTTGCTGTATGTATAATACTTGAGTAACTCTCACACAGCATCCAACAGATGATGACAGACTGTGAAGTGGTAGGCAGGGGTGGCAATTACTAACACTGACCGAATAATGGTCTAATAGATTTTTCCCAGATTGGATTTGGAACTGAGCGAATCACTGCTTGTAAGAAAGATAGGCAGGGCTGGAGATTTAGCACAATGGCACAAATGCTTGCCTCGCAAGTGCAAGGCCATGAGTTCGATCCCCAGTACCAAAAAAATAAATAAATAAATAAATAAAAGAAAGGTCGGCATAAAATTCAGTTTTTGGGAAAGAGGCATCTCTTAGGGACAAAATGTTCATGCCAACTATCTCCTAAAGGCAGAGGGAAAGTTTTAAAGGAGAAAGAGAGGAATATGAAGAAGTAAGTAGGGAGACCTACAAGTCTGCCAGGCCATCAGTAACACTTTATTTTTAAGTTACATGTGCTTTCCATTTTCCTTGGAATATTTAGGATTCTTTGGGTGGAGGGAATGTACCAATTGTGTTAAGGAATAAGGAATGAATCTTATAAGATGTATGAGCTTAACCTAAAGCTGCTAAACTCCAAGAGGAATTTAAAAAACCTAAGCAGAAAAATTAAAAGACTAAACTGACTCCAAGTTCACTAGATTGTCTCAGTTCTTGTGCCCATTCTTTAGAAAACTTTTAGTCAAGTGTGCCATTTCCTCATTGTATTTCATTAGAACAAAAACAGCATTCTGCATCTGAAGTTTATAGCTATTCTAAACCCTTCCTTCTACAAATACCAAGGCTAGACGTTCAGAATGCACTTTTTGAGACCTGCTAAGCTTGGCGGGGGGGGGGGGGGGGGGACTGGCATTATGTTAGTTTTGTCATTTTCTGTACTACAAAAGAATGTAATTTGATGTGGTGGGGGAAATGGATGAGGGACAGCTATTAAAAATTCTATGATGTTAACAGAAACAGGAAATCTTTTGTGAAAATGTTTAAAATTATTATTTAAGTGTTATATAACACTAAGATATTCCTTTAAATGAATACTTAGTGACAAAGTCTAAATTATTTAACCTAAGGTAAAGTATCTTGGTAGTTTCTTAGGAACTTATTTAGAATGTTTCATTATACATACAAATATATATGACAAAGAAACATAACAAACCACCAGCACCTACTGAGAATGAATCATCTGACAGGCACACAATTATTTGAAAAGCATCAAATATTTCAAATGCTAAAGTATTTACCTCCTTAAAATTATATAGAGAATAAGAACTACTAGCTAGGACATAATATACTGTTCTAAACACACTATTAAAATAAAAATTATAGTAATAAACCTTTAATGCTAGAAGGAAAAAGAAATACTACATTTGAATAAAGGATGTGCTGCTAGGAATGAGGTAAGCATTAATAATCTAAGAGGTCTGTAAGAGATTTTTTCTTATACAAAATTGAGCCCATAAACACTTTACTCCTGTCCTTTCTACACTATCTGCTATTACTGTATATCTTAATATTTAGAATACACAAATATCTCAAAGCCACTTAGCAGAGCAATACACTTATCTTAAAAACAAACTTACCTGATGAACCAAATCCACTGAGGGCTGAGCCTATAGCGGCACCCAAAGAGCTACCACTTCCAAAGCCAAGAGATGTACTTCCAGGTTGACCAGGTCCATGAGAAAATAAAGAACTGCTCTGGGAGTTACTAGTCAAAGAACCGCTCCCATAGAATGAATTAGACTGCAGATTAGTGCTTGGTGGTTGCTGCTGCTGCTGCTGCTGCTGGGGCGGCTGGGTGCCCATTGGTCGAAACAGACCATTTGTGCTGCTTGTAAGACTATTTGCAGTTCCTCCAGCTGCTGCTGCTGCTGCTGCTGCAAAATAAATTTCAGATACTTCTTCAAAGTAACCAGAGCAACATACTATATTTTTAAAATGCACCTCAAACAGTAGAATAATAGTTCTAAAGATCTTAGTTACACTTACCAGCTTGTGCTGCTGCTGAACTAATTAAAACAGGGGTGGGAGCCATTAACCGAACTGGAGCTCCGAGGCCAGTTCTTGCTCCGGGGCCAACCACTAAGGCACCAGTCTGATCATAATAGGCGGTTGGAGCTAATACTTGATAGCCTAGATAACAAAACAAATGCTGATTAATACAGAAACATGTATATCTATTTTCCTTTGTATTTGTGATATCAACCAAGAACAACAGCTATTTTATACTATTACTGTAAAACCCTCAAACTACTTTCTATATGAAAAGCAACATAATTGACAAGGTGTTACTAAATACATGTAGTAGTAACACAAAGTAGTTAAATATTTTTTCCCAAAATTTAAACAGATTACCTTCAACTGAAATGTCTTACTTACAGGCCACAAAACAAAATTACTTTTGTTAATATAAATACTACAGATTCCCAAAAGCTGATAATATAAAATATTGCCAGCTGGTAAGTGGTGAGACAATAGATAGACTGAGAAAATGAGATAGAACGCTATACAATGTTTAACGTCATTATACAATTTCAGTAAAGTTCTGAAGTAAACCAAATGTTTCATTACCAGTATTTCCTTAGATTTGCATTTGGAAGCATCTCTTTACAAACTCAAAATGTGATCTGAACAAATAAAATGGTAAGATATTTGTAAAGGCTCTCAAGCTAGAGTTTGAATAAAATTACACAGACATTAGTTTCATTGTAGACTTGAGCACAAGTCAGGTAACAATCTGCATTGTCCTTAACTACAGGAGAGTGAAATTTACCTCTGAGCAGCCTTTCTCAAGAGATCCCGCCTCTGAACTGAAGAACAAACAAAATGATTCAAGTGACAAATTTTGTTAATTTTCCCAAGGATGGTACATACTAAGTACTCTCTAGAGGCAGAAGAGAGAAGCTAACTATACACAAATAATGGTAGATACTACAGGGTAACGAGGTTAATGTTCTTCTGGAACTCGGGTTGAGAAAGGCTGCCTGCCTTGTACAGTGACAAGAACTTTATTTAGCACTCTTAACTATCTATGAAAATGCACTTACAATATTTTAAAAAGGATTTACATACATAAATTGCAGTATCAATTTTTGTGTTTTACTCTATCAAAACTACACAAAAACAAAAGTCAAAGTAAAATTACAGATACAAAGCAGCACGAAAATGCTTGCTTTTTTTTTTTTTAACACAGTAGACTAAATTCAGCTCAAATACAATGACAATGCCGGGATAAACCCTGTGCACCACTAACATTTTGACATACATTTTAAGTAAATACAGCAATTCCAGGTATTAGCATATTGTGAATAAAACACCAACAACTATAGGTACTACTCAACAGTTTTAGCTGGTACAGATAGCCTAGCCCTAAATCCAAGATACATAATATAGTCTTGCTTAAAAGCATTATTGTCTAACATCTGAATGAATTAAAATATAAAAGTTAACCCACGCAGACATTTCATTGCTCAAAAATCAAACAGCCTGAAATGCTATTTAACCAAATAGCAGACATAAATTCTGAGAGACATTTGCCTGCAGTCAGCTTCTCCAAGACACATTTATTTTACCTTTGAAATTTCTCTCAAAGCATCCCATTCTTCTGAGCACCAAGGCCCTGTCTGTCTACAACTACGTGGTCTGCCGACAGGTTTTTTTCCTCATTTCTATAATCTATTCTCCAGAGTGATCTTTTCACTTCCAATCTAACACCACACCCCACTCAAAACCTTCTAAAGGGTTTAAAGGGAAAAGCAAAACTCCAAATATGGCCCACAAACACAATCTGTTGGTCCCTGGTCATCTTTCTAGTTTCACGTGGCACTCCTATACCATTTAAATTCTGAGAATAAAGAGGGTTCAAACTCCTGAAAGATGTCATGTTTCCTCTTATCACACAATGTTTTATTCTCCTCTCCTATCTCCAACTTAGCTTAATTCATTCATTGTTTATGAGTTCAACCATCTGATAAATATTTATTAAGTAGCACTAGATAAGCCGGCATTATTCTATGCATTGGGATACAGTGAGGAATTTTTTTTTAAAAAAAGCATCTTCATCCTAAGGAGATAACAAAAATAAATAAAAGTATGCCAGATTGTTTCAAGCACTGAAGGGAAATAAAATGTAAACAAGGAGAATCAGTAAGTAGTATTGGATGATGACAGAAGTGTTGCTGGGGGTCAAGAATCACCTCTGTAATTAAATGAGACAAAAATCCAAAGGAAATGAACAAGCCAAGCTCACGTATATAGAAACAGCTCTCCAAATGGAGGGAACAGAAAATAAGCCCATATGGTGACAACAGAGTGAGAATAATCAAAACGGGTAAAGAGGGACTAGACCATTGTATGTCACTGTAAGGAGACTATGTAGGGGTGTGACAAGAAAAGAGCTAAGGACTAGTCCTATTTTGGCCCACGTTTATAAGGGACTACTATGCATTTATTCAGTTCATACTTTCCTATCTATTAACATAAGTTACAATACTTCCCCACAGCTAGGAATTGTGGCATTTTACGGGTAATGGTTATTTATGTCTTTTCTTTTTTTGCAATGCTAAGGATCAAATCGAGGGCCCTGGCATACTTAGCAAGTGCCCCACTTTCACTGATAAGCCTCTCACAGGTGCTTACAACACTGTTTGCCTCTTCAAAGAAAAAAACCTGAGACAGTTCATGCTTTTGTGTAGTTCATTTTATTCACATCACTTCCTACTGTTAGTATTTGCTCCTTTGTACATTCTCTGGGTTTGCTCTATTTTAAGTTTCCAGAGAGATGGTTAGTTAGCTCATTAAGTTTTAGGGTTGTTTGTTTTCTAATGTATGCATTTAAGCTATAATTTCTACCATCCTATCTTTTTATTAATGAGAAAGTCTGTAGTGGCTAAGTTTGAGTTAAGGGTTGGGAAAGAAAAGAGATGAAATTAGAAAGAATAATATAGCAAGAAGGATTTAAAAGGCATGATCCCATGCTTGTGAACTGTACCGTCTACTAATGGAGATATACCATTTTCTTAATTCTAAGATGTCACTTTAAGACATAACTGATTTACTAATTTCTTAGTAACAAAACTTCAAGATATGTTAACAAAACTACTTTAAACATGTTTAAAAAAATATTGCAGAACTGGAGAAATAAAGCACAAATAGTTAAGTAAAATGTAAGGCAAAGAGAAGCACTAAAAAGAGGTATAAGCAATGTATTATAGGAAGGCACAAGAGCAATTTTTAAGACGTGAGCACTGGGAAAGTGGAGACCACATTAAAGGATGCAAAGTTAAATAAAAAAAATGGTTAGAAAGCTGGATTACCCGTTCCTGTGAGCTAGCCTGCTTCTGGGCTAGGAGATAAGAGGTACCTCTACCCCAAGAAATGGGCTGATTCAAAGAAACACAGGCTGAAAGGACAGCCACTGAAGTAAAATACAACTTAATGCCTGTATTGTTTAACTGACTTTGCAAGCCAAAGGCCGAGAGTATGAGCATCTATTTAGACGATAATAATGTGTAATACAGCAATTAGGGGGGATTTCCTTCTGAAGGTGGCAGCTTGTTTTAAAGTCCTATATGATTTCCATTGTTTTGTTTTTTTCTGTTTTGTTTGATTTTATTATATCTGATGGCATGCGCAGCTATTTTGAAGATAGTAAGATATATTATGGTAGCCACTGTTGATCTCTGATTATTTTGAAGGCCTGTACTGCTTTCATTGCTTTGTTTTGATTCGTTTTATTCTGTTCTGTTTTAATTTTATTAGGTCTGATGGTATGGGCAGTCATTCTGAAGATAACAAGAGCAGGCATTCTGGTAGCCATTGCTGATTTCCTATTACCTTGTGTTGAAGTCCTGTATCACTTTCACAGTTTTGACTGGCTTTATTCTGTTTGGTTTGGTTTGGTTTTATTCTCTTTAAAATTAAAAAAAAAAAAGGAAAAAGACCAAACAAAAAAATACACCCCCAATTTGTTTAAAATTTATAAAAGGACATTTTAAACTTAGAAACAAATAAAAATAAAAACTCCTGAAAACAAGAACATGAGCTAGGGCTTGAGGAATAAAGTACATAATGTGCTTGGGGACACCAGTAGGTAGTGTTAGGTTACAGCATAGGATTCAGAGGGATGTGACAGATTATATTAAAAAGGTAGTTTGGGACTAGATCATGAAAAATGTTAGGAAACACAATGACTTAAATTGACATGTATTTGTGAAAAGGAAATGAAAAGAATGACAGAAGAGATAAACAGAAGTGAGTGAGAAGAAAAGGGAGAAACTGAAAAAGTCCAGCAAAGATCAAAAGAAAACAACAAACATGAGACAGAGCGATGGACAAACAAACAGCAGTCCCTGAGCAGCAGCACAGCACCTGCCTGAGCAGGTGCAAGACCCTAGGGGATGTGGGAGAAACATTTTTGACCACAAGTACAGAAGAAAAACCAAGAGTTGGAAATAACTTTAAGGTCAAAGGCAAGTTTCTAGTTCTGAGTCAAGGTAGAGTTAATAAGTGAAGTGCAGTGAATGGTAAGATCAGCAAATATGGAAGAAACAAATTCATTTTCTGATGTCTTCAGTTTGCGGAGTGGCTGGAGTATACACACAGTGAACTTCTGGTACAATCGAAGAAATGTGTTAAATGTTAAGAAAAGACTCAAAATGTAGATGCAAATTCATAAAGATGACAGTTAAAATGAATGGACAGAATCTCTTTAGGAGAAAGAAATGTAAAATCTTTATTTTCCTAAAGTGAAATCGAAGTTCAGAAGCAAGTAACTAAAGGGGCTACATGGTGTGGTCTAAAGGGTAAGTAATACATTTTGCTTTAGGACCTGCTCTAAAAGCCTTACCTATTTTTATTATCACTCCAAAATACAATCTTTTTATTGTCTTTTTTTTCTCCTTTTTGAGACAGGCAATACTCCTGCCTCAGCCTGCCCAGTACTAAGATCACACAGGTGTGTGCCAGCACACCTGGCAACACAATCATTTTCAACAAATATAAAGTATTGTCTTTTAAAATTATCAACATTGAGTTCATTGTTGCACACACACAAAAAAGGCAACAGTTTTCTTAGAATGGAAAGAAGAGAAAACTGAATACAAAAATAAATCCACAGACCAATATTTTTGATGTTTTTAGTAGCTCAGTGTGGTGGCACAGGCCTATAATCCCAGCATTTGGGAGACTGAGGCAGGAGGACTGCTGTGAGTTCAAAGTCAGCCTAGTTACAAAGTGAGTTCAAGACAAGACTGAACTATATAGTGAAACCCTGTCTCAAAAATCCAAACAAACAAACAAACAAACCACACACAAAAAAATATTGTATTACAGTGATACATTAGCACCTGCATTTATACAGGGGCACAATTCACAACAGCTAAATCTTAGAAGCAGCCTGTACGTCCACTGACATGAATGCAGAAAATGTGGTATTTATGTATAGTGGAGTGCTAGTCTTCCATAAAGGATAAACGAGTCATTTGTAGAACAAGATGTATAGTCGACTAGAAAAGATGATAAACTAGTCTCTCCAGATTCCAGAGAGAAGAGAATGAATGCAACTGATATAGAATAGAGATCTTTAAAATAACAGGGAAGTATTTATTGTAATTAACACATAAAAGAAACCTTAGTCACATAAGAGATCTTTCCCAAAACACTTGAACGCATTTCTTAATCTAAACAGAAAATATATTATAATTAAATGGAAAAGAATTCATTTCATTAACAAGCAACCCAGATAATTGCAATAGAAGTAACCACTCATGTATCACAAGTAAAAATACCATACTTAGAAAAGCGATTTTCAGAAGTATAAAGGATGGAAAGTGTTTTTTATCTGTCAATATTCAACCATGATATTTAAGTGTAACTTTTAAAGTACAATGAACTTGGCAAGGTGGTCAAAGCCTGTAATTCCAGCTCCTGGAGAGCCTGAGGCAAGGGCAATCACAAGTTCAAGGCAGCCTGGACAATACAGACCAGGTCTTAAAATTTAAAAAAGGACTGGAAACGTAGCTCAACGGTACAGTGCTTACCAGAGAGCACTGATTAGGACCTAGGCACTGCAAAAACAAAACCCCCGCACACACACTGGGACTGGAGTACGGCCTCAGTGGCAGTACTGGGCGCCCTGGGCCAATGTGGTCACGATGGGACTGACTGGGGTCGGCAATACTTTGTATGACTCATTGCTGGGTGGCTGGAACTGTTAGTGGTACATGCAAGACCCCTAACGGGTGGTTTTTTTTTTATTAATCTTATTAGTAAGAAAGACTGGTGATTAGATCACAAGTAGTACAAGCTGCTTAATGGGACGTCAGGCATGTACTCACCAGTGGTTCAAGCTGGTGAGAATGTGTTACTCCCCATGAAGGGGGCACGAGCACGTGCATGTGCATGTGCACAAGCACTGGGGGAGGGGGAGGGGGAAGAAAGGGAGGCAAAGTAAAGGAGGAAGGCTAGAAGGAAGACCTCGCCCACTTCAAAACAATAATGGGTCCAATCCCTAGTACCAAAATGGTAACAGATAAGCAACAAACCTTTAAAAAAAAGTGCTGGCTTTCTGGTTTAAGAAAAATACTTCCCTTTCTCCGTTACTATTACAGATTTACATCTGGTTTCACAAAAAAAGTGTATCTTGTCCTTTTCTACAATGGCACTGAATAGAAATGTTACACTGTAATTTTCTATACATTAGGCATTATAGGCATAGAATAACTATTACTGCTATTAAGAACATATTAGTTGCAATTTCAATAGTAACTATTTTATGAGGAAGGTATAGCAAATAGGAGTTGCCTGGCAAACAAACCCTAACCAACTGGTCTTACTTCCTAAAGCATAACGCTGAAAATTTTAGGGTAAACTCGGCTAAAAGATGCTGTGGTTCTAGTCATAACCAGTAAGAAAAAACTGGCTACATTAAGAATTCACATTCACTCACCTTTTAAGTCTACACTGATTTCACGTCTAAGTTCTAAATAATTATAAAACAGGCAAGACTTTAAAAACACTTCTTGATTTATTTTATTAGTGTGAGAATGTACCATCTAACATTGTAAATCCATTCAAATTTCTACAAATCCTCAGGCCCCCAACAACGAAACCACCCCTGCATAAACCAATTACATACCTGGCATGCCTGTAGCAAGACCCTGCCCAAATGCCAAAGTAGGATTTGCAGCTGCAGCTGCTGCAAGTGATTCTGCTTGTTGTCCCTGTTGACCCTGGTTAGGAGTAAGAGGACGCTGACCAGTTCCAGCACGAAGAACCTACGAAGGACAGGTGTCTTTTTCTTAAAAGCAGTATTATAAATGTAACAAGTTTTTCTTGAACAACTATATAGATATTACAAGACTTAGGGCATTTTTTGAACATGTAACCTTCTACATGCAACAAAATATGTATTTAGTAAGCAAAATTACAAAATAATTTGTTCTTTACAACTAGAACACCTCGATTCTTGACATCAAAGTAAATACATGTACAACAACTCTTAAAGCAACATCAAATTTCAAGAAGGTCTCTGGATAAAAATCTTAGATGAAAACAAAAAATTAGATTTTATTAAAATTATTTTCCAAAGCAAAAAATAATTTTTTTTAATACCCCCCCCCCCCTTTTATCGGTACCGGGGATCCAACTCACAACTGCCTGCTTGCAAGGCAGGCACTTATGCCGCTGAGCTAAATCCCCAGCCCCTGAAAATAATTTTTTTATGAAATTGCAATACAGAACAAAATCTTCAAATATAACCAAGTGTTCAGAATTCAGAACTTTAAATAGTAAAAGTTGCTTTCAGTATAAAATCTTAGTGTAAAAAAAGGTAACATCGAAACAAAATGAGAAGCTCTTAAATCTGATCAACTTGTACCACTTAGAAGTATCAATTACTGTAGTAATGATAACAAGCAAGATGAATTTAATCGTGAATTTTACAAATGCTCAAGCAATTCAGGACCCAACCTAAGTGAGCATCAAATACAGGTATGTATTGCTAAGGTAACATGATATTTTTATGTTTGGTCACAGAAGATACAGGTTAAAAAATAATGTATGTATTAACTGATGTTGAGCTATGATGTCAAAGGACAATTTCCACACAGCCTCAAACATAGTTTTAAAACATATTAAAAGAAATTCAGAATAAAATTTAACTGCTAAGTGAGCAATACACATCATGATGATGCTTCTTTGGTGTAAAATACGATCAGTAAGACAGTCACATTTCTGATATTTATCAAAAGTGTGTTTGATCCTTTTTTGTTGCTGTTTTTTTCCTAATAGTATTTAAACAAGATGGCTCTGTGAAAGGCTAAAAACTGTAAAAATCTCACACTAAATACTTTCTTTTTTAAGAAATTGAAGACAAAGTTTAGTAAAAATATTTTATCTTGCTAAAAAAATGTAACAAACTTTTAACAATTTGTTAAAACAAATGGTTTTAACAATCTTTTAATGATCAGAAACATTAATATTTAAACTTTCACTTTACATACCTGAAGAAAAAAGAAGGGGCATTTACTTGGGCAGGAACATTATTAGGACACTTTTAAGAAGTGATAAAAATAAATTTAAATGTTGTAATAACTTTTCAAGACAAAAATGGGACACAATCAGATCTTTTAAATTCATATAATAGTGGTCAGGAAAAAAAGTAATGTGGGATCTAGCTCAGAGGCATAGTGCCTGCCTGGCAAGCATGAGGTGGTGAATTTGATCCCCGGTACCAAAAAAGGAGTAATGGATAGTTTTGTACCAACTACATGCCTAGCAAGGTGTTACACAGGGAGCACAAGACTGAAAAGATCTTAAGCCCCAGGAGCTCATGGAATTTGAGTCCTCCAGTATTAGCCAACAAAGGAAGGCCTACCTGCTGCTGTCCAGGCTGAGCTTGGGACGCTGCTTGCTGACTGGCTGTGTTGTTTGCTGCAGCAGCAGCTTGTTGCTGAAATAAATTGGCTGGATACACCCCCCACGGAACACCGTAATACTGTGGCGGAACCACGGCTGGACCTAAACCCCACACATTTCACCAAAAAAAAAAAAAAAGTCACTAGATTTTATACAGAAGGCTGGCTACCAAGCATTAGATTATAAATAGAAACAAGGAATAAAATTCAGAGCAGAAGCTAATCCTATAATCATTTGCTTAACTTGCTATATACCCTTTCTGCCTTTTCTGATTCTGTTAAGAAGTATTCAGGGACAGATCACTAAAAAAGAAAGTATAATAAGTAGCGGTCTTAACGGAGAGATGTGAAGCAAAACCTAAGGTTACCAATGAAATGGTTTAACCACCTATTCAACATGTCCTGACATGTATCAATTCATGGTTCTTACAGAGAACAAGAAAATATATTTAGGAACATAAGACACCATAAAAATATAAGATTTCTTAAGGTCAATTCACTTCTAAGTTTTAAAAAGTAATATTTTATGACTACTGAAAAAAATACAATTATTTTCTCCTTTAGCTTTAAAAATACTCCTCATATTTTAAACAGAATTTGTAAAAATTCTCACAAAGCAATAAAATTATATGAAAACAAACAAAATGTCAATGTTTACATGGGTAGGAAACTGAGACTAGTGAGCTTAAATGAAGAACCAAATAAAATAAATGCAAGAAAAACAGAAGCCAGAAAGCAAACCAGGAAACAACAGAAGCAGTTGTTTCTGCTCTACTTCACTTGATGCTTGGAAAATAAAGAGAATTATGCACAATAAACACCACTACTGAAGTATGCATTTTATTCATACTTCAGTACTCCTAATCATACATGATTTAGGACACTTGTTCTAAAACCCTAAAGTGTCCTAAATCATTATCCTAAAGTGTCCTAAAATCATTATCAACACTCGCATTTTAGGACATTTAATTAGTGTATTTTAGAGAGTGAAATTCTTGGTTTCACTTTGTTTTCAAAGAAAATAAACCCCAGTATAACTGAGTCGCTAAAATGAAAAGCTTTATGCCTATAAAGGCAAAGTATTTTTGAAGATAGTAGGGTAAGCACAACCTACGGTGAAAAGTTTTAAAATGATGCAAAGACTTTATGAAGAAATGGCTCGTTGTAAAAACACAACAAAATAAAAAACAAAAAAACAAGACCCTGACATCGTAGGACCTTCACCATCCAACATAGCCAGAAGACACTTGTGGCTACTGAAGCTTTTAACTTAAAGAGAGATGGCTCAAACTGAGACATGCTGTTAAGACTGTAATTTATACAGGGTTTTGAAAGATTTGGCATGAGGAAACAACTTAAGAACTATTAATACTTTTAAAATATTGATTACATACTGAAATGATATCTGAGATATGTTGGGCTAAATCAAATATATTACTCAAACTAATCTTGTCTGTTCTTTACTTTTATGTTGTGGCTACTAAACATTTTAAACTACCTTTTTGGATTCAAACTGCATTTCTGGTGGGCAGTCCTGCTGCTAGAAGTTTGGGTTAAAATATCTCTTAACGCTGCTTCTTCCCATCTCAGAGGTAAATGGTTCTCTATGCATAACAGGTCAGCATTTTATATACTTAATGTCCAATTACATGGCACCAAAAAGCTCAGTGTGCCTGATGACAAGTAACTCTTCCTTATAGATCTCATTTTTATTTCAGATTTTTAGTAGTGGTCTGGGGTTTGACAATTTTCTCTTAAGTTCTTTCCAACTCCATCCTACATTTCTGTCCCCTAGTTTGTTTGCATATTTTAACAGCGCTCAAGAAACTTATCTATGCATTCTCTCAAGATTGCTGAAGATCTTTACATAAGATCATTCATTCCATCTACCTCCAGTTCATTTTTAGAAAAGTAACTTTACATCATCTCTGTGACTACTGGGATTGGTCATTAAAAAGGAGATGCATGGGCAATAACGTTAAGATTTCTAAGCTACAAAACAGAGAAGCAAACCAACTATGTATATGGATGAAGTTGTTGTTAATGCTTAGGCTTTCCCGTGTAGCATTACAGTTGAAAAATAAATTCCCTGGAAACTTCAGCTGATTGTGGATGTGTCAGTTTTCCATAGGCATTTCAAATTCCCAGACAGAAGCACAGCTTACACCAAAATTAAAACTAAATCCACAAGTAGTAAAGATGAACACTAGTTACCTGCCAATGTTGCTGCTGCAGCCAAACCTGCTGCAGTGTATGGATCAGTCCCTGGAGGAGCAGCGCTAATAATATATGGATTTGGCACAAATGCAGCTGGAGCAAGGCCTGCTGAGAATACACCAGCTATATTTAAAAGGGGAAAAACAGTGCATAAAAATGTCATTTTATTTTCTTTATATAGAAACATTTCTACTCTGAATCTCAGGTGGAACACAGCATTATAATGTGCTGTTTTCCTAGGTGACCCCAAGATGTAACATTACTTGATTCTAAAGCTTTTCATTGAAGAAACAGGAGCATGACCTGTTGTCTTACATAATTTTTGTGAGAATAAAGTACGATATGATTGTACTGTATCAGCATACAAGAGGTACATCCTAGGTGCCTGGAGCTAGAACTACTACCTAGCCTCCCCTGAGTCTTTATTCAGCCACACTATAAAACAGACGTCCCACACTGCCTCCCACAAAAATCTCCATGGAGGGAGAAAAAGCAGTAAACTAGGAATTAAACTTTACTAAGTAAGCAGTGTGGACACAGACAGTAGGGGTATCTAGTAAATTTTGGAAGGGGTCGCTAGGATGAATGAGGCGTAGAATACAATGAAATGAAACTGGAGCTATAACTAGACTGAAGACTCAAAGATTTGCTGGTTAATTAACTAGTTTGGACTTTGCCCTCCAGGCAGTAAGGAAACAAGAAAGTTTAGAGAACAATGACTTTAAAGCCACTCTTTCTGAGTCTAACATATGACCGCACAGATCAAGCAAAGGTTAAGAAAGATTTTTAAATATATATACATTTCCCTTGTTCTTACTAATAGGGAAGAAAACTCCTGAGACTATTGAGGACTCACTGTGTAGACTTTTAACTATAATTACTGAAAAAAAATTACACTGAAAGTGTGTTGTCACTCTACAGAGTAACTTGAGACAAGTGGAAAATAAGAGAAAAATAACAAAGTATTTAAAATTAAAGGGGATCAAAAAGGTTCAAGTTTAAAAGATGGAGAATATAAAATTAGATGAACTTGACCTTTCGTTATTTTTTTTGAGACAGGGTCCTAACTATTCAACCAGGTTGGTCTCAAACTCAAAGCAATTTCCTGCTTCAGCTTCCTAAATGCTGGGATTTTAAGTGTGTGTGTCACCACATCCCACTTAGAGTAATATTTTTTTTTTTTTTTTTTTTTTTTTTTTTTTTTGGGTACTGGGAATCAAACTCACAACCATGTGCTTGCAAGGCAGGTGCTTATGCCACTGAGCTAAATCCCCGGCCCACTTAATTTTTCAGAAAGTATTCAAAAGGAACATAGTATCTTAAAGGCAAGGCCTTAAAAATCAAGATTCTACATTTACATTAATTTTGAATTGTATTAGCTTTCTGGCTATGATTCATAGTATGAACCTATTTTGTATCAACTTAGGGTCACACACACACACACACACAGAACATTAAGTCACAACCAAGTCTCGCAAGGAGAGAAATTACCACTAGGAAGTTTCAACGTAAGCTATATTGTATTGCACTCAGTTTATATCTTCATTACTTTCTATAATCTATTCAATCTTTAAAACGTAAGCCACAACCAAAGCACTAATTTTATGCCCAAGAAGGACATTCATTTTTTAAAAGTATACTTTTTATACAGGAATTAAGGGGCCAAGGGTATGCTTAGTGACACAGTGCCTGCCTGGTTAAGCATAAGGTCCTGAGTTCAATTCCCCGTACCAAAGCAAACCAAAAAATACACAAACACCCAAAGAATGACAAAAGAATTAAGAACTAAACTGTAGGTTCACTAAAATTCTTACATTTATGCTTAACATCATTTGTTCACAGTCACATTTGTAACTGTGTCTAAATCAAAGGTTTCAAGATTTCCTTCTGGTTCAGCTATCATGAATTTCTCACATGAACATAAAATTATGCCTAAAAGCCAGGACATGCTTTTTTTTTTTTTTTTGAGATAGGGTCTCATTATGTACCCCAGGCTGGTCTCAAACTTATGCCCAGCTAGAGCATGTTTTTAAAATGTATTTTATACTTTTTAGGTGCATATATATCTATGTATTTTTTTTCTTTTGGTATCGGAAATCAAACTCAGGACCTTACACTTGCCAGGCGACCCTCATCTACTATTGCCCCTTAGAAGACAGCACTGCCTTTTAGAAGAAGGCGCAGGGTTGGGGTCTGGGTCCCTCCTTTGTACATTGAACCTTCATGGCAAACTTTCAGTCCTGCTCCCTAATTTCAGGGACTACAGAAGCAGCACTCCTGGCCACTTCCCTGGCTTGCTCTGGGAGGCTCCAACCTACGCTACAGGACAGCTCTGCTGAAAATCCGCTTTGGTGTTCCTGTTTTAAAAAACCAAACAAACAAAACCCTAGCGGTTTCTTTTTAACAACTTCATGATAGGTATTTTATTGCACAAAACATGTATCTCAACCCACTACTGAAATACAATTAGACAATGCGTAATCTTTGGGTACAAAAATATGTTTTTTAAAAGCCTACAATTTGCTTGGGGATTCTATGCTCACAGTGGCATGACTGAAACTCCAATTCTACTAGTCTGTTTTTTCTTCTTCTGGCTCTTTACAGGCTTTTATTGCCAATCACAGTTACAGGTTTTCCCTGAACTCCAGCCATTTATATAACTCAGCTTTCTTTTCTTTGAGCTTGCAAGTAGATGCTCTCTCTCAGAGTGCAGAAGTCTATTTTAAAAAATACATTGATGGGGCTGGAGGTTTAGCTCAGCGGCATAAGCGCCTTCCTTGCAAGCAGGCAGTCATGAGTTCGATTGCTGGTACCAATATAAAAGGAAAAAGACAAAAAAAATAAAATAAAATAAAAGAAATACATTGTTATCTAATGTGGGCCACAGCAATCCCTGTTACACTAATTTTGTATAAAGAACAGCTTCAGTATTTTTTAAAAACCAGGGAAAATTTCAAAATGTGGAAATTATAGGAAACTGTAACTTCAGTGCCCCTAAGTGAAGTTTTCTTGGACACGGCACTGCTCATTTTTGTATCATCTATGACCATGTCCACATTACAACAGCAGAGTGGGCTAGGTTAAGAGTAAAGTGAATGTCCACAAAGATTAAAAGCTACTATCTGGTCCTTTACAGAATGTTTTGTTACCCCTCACTCTGGGACAATCTTCAGAGCTAGATCTGCAGTGGCTATGGTAGTTAGTGACCACACCAAACATTTGACAGTTGACTGAGACCACCGCTAAGAAAAACACAAACATGCTTTCAAAGACTTACTATAAAAAAATGCAAAATTTCTCTACATGATATTGATTTTGAAATGATGTTGTAGATATGAGTTAACATAATTCATTCATAAATAAGTCAAATTAATCTCATCCATTTTTGAATTTTAAAAAGTAGCTACTAAATAAATTACATGTGGTATAGTCTATACTTCAATGGGTACTGCTATCCTAAATGAGCCAAAATCAGCCAAGAGATCATCAGATGACTTAGCCAGCTTTAAAGAAAAAAAAAAAAAAAGATTCAGGGTCAACAATACATTTAACTGTTGAACTAAGATTAAAATGTGAGGTCAGTTTTGATAAATTATACTTCCTTAGAAATATTTACATTTCATTATAGGTTTCAAATTTATCTGTACCAAATGATCTATAATTCAGATGTGGTGAACCATGGCACATGTGCCACAGCAGGTTTTTGTTATTACTGACAGCTCTAAAAGGCTTGCCATCACTGAATGGCCTAGAGGTTTCTGAGTTACCTACTATACCTTTAAAGACTTTGTAAGCTGAGTGTGACACGAAAAGGAAGTATCTCTAAATTATAAATCATGTATGTTGTCTTTTTGAGACAGGGTCTCGCTACGCAGTTCAAGCTGGCCTTGAGCTCACTGTGTAGCCCTGGCTGGTCTTGAACTTGCAACGATCCTCCCACCTCAGCCTCTGAGTGCTGGGATTATAGGCGTGAGCCACCATGCCCAGCTAAATCAAGTATTTTGATATCAAAATTTGACAAAAACTGCAACTATGTACATATAGACTAATTATCACTTACAATGATATAAAAACCCTAAATGAAACATTAGAATTTGAAAGAATGTGCTAAAATAATAACTGCATTCAAATCTTTTCTAAGAATGGAAAGATTCAACTGTTAGGAAATATAAAATCAAATATATGATATTCAAAGAGCTTTCATACAGAGTAGTTTCAAACTTTATGAAAGACAAAGTCATTTGATGAAAACACAAAATACTTAAGAACAAACTTAAATATGCAAGTTCTTAGATATTTTAAAGAGCTCATGAATGATACCCACCATAGATTTTAACAAAAGATACACTATGAGTTAGATAATACTGCCACAAAGACGTTACTTTTCTGTAAATTAAAAAGTTTAACCTAGTCATTTAAAGCATGTAAGGTAAACCTAAATTTCATTTTTAGAAAGCCAATAAATGGGCTGGGGCTTTAGCTTGGTGGTTCAAGTACCTGCCTGGTAAGCATGAGATCATGAGTTTGATCTCCCGTACCAAAAACAAAAACAAAAAAAACCATAAAAAAACAATAAGCAAGAACAAAACATTTAAAAATCTGAAGAGCAATGGGTGACTTCCGGGAGAACATGGCGGACAGATAACAGCAACTACCGGAGGCTCTCTGAAAGGCTCAGCTCAGAAGTCAGGAATGATGCAGACTAAGGAGACATGAGCCGGTAGAGATATGCTCTGCTGACTCAGGAACGAACTGGGCTGAGAGAAACCAACTTGGAATGCAGTCCTGGTGCTAAAATAGGAACAGAAAAGACTTGGTGTGGAGGCTGGACCCCGTGCCATTGGAAACCGCGATTTGGGTTTCCCGCCGCCCGGCGGCTTGGCTGCCTCCACAGCGGCTCGGCAAGGAGAGATGCGCAGAAGCTCTGGGAACGGGAGTCTGCGAACGGAGTCGAAAACAGGACGGACAAGGAGGCGTACATTGACTTGTGGCGAGGTGAGTGAGAGAAACTGACACTCTACCACAGTTTGACTCCAGCGGAGGACTTCCTGGGCTCGGGCAGTCCTGTAAGAGCAGGGCGCAGTGGGGACTCCAGCCACACATTCCCCTCTCGGACGGGATTGGTGAAAAGTGCCTGGCCTGCGTGACGCTGCAGGCAGACTTGGTAGGCTGGCCTAACCCAGATCCCAGAGCCTGACGGTGGCCCGGAGGGGTGACTGACTCCCGCGTAGGCTGCCTAGTCCATAACTCCCTGGTGCGCAGCGGTGGGCGGGAACACCTAGCCAGCGCAATTTGATCAGGCTGTGGCTGACAGGCAGGGAAGCTGGGCCTCCTATGTAAGCTTGCATAAGGAACAGAGAATATGGGGAAGGGAAGCAACAAGAAAGGCTCCTCGGCCCCCAATTCTGAGAAACAGGCAATAGCGGACACCGCACCAATAGACATTAAGCGCCATATAGAGAGCCTCATAGACCAATTCAGGAATGAAGTTATCAACGACCTGAAGCTAGAAGTATGCATAATAGAGAAATGCTAAGCACCACCCAAGAAAAAACAGATGGTGGAATGGAAGAACAGAAAAAGAGGGGAGAATTGTTTGATGGAGAAAACAGAGAAAGCATAGAGTATGTGAAGCAGGTTCAAAGGGACTATCAAGAAATTAAGAAGTCTATCCAAGACTGGCATAACAGCTTGAAAGAAACTAAGGACAGACTATCTGAACTGGAGGGCAGACTTGTAATATGGGAGAATGAAATGAAAAACTTCTTAAAAATAACAAAGAAACAAACAGCAATAATACAAAGACAAGAAGATGATAAGAGGAGCCATAACTTAAGGATTAAGAACATAAAAGAAGAAGTAGGGACACAAACAAGTGAACTACAAAAGCTACTCACAGAAATAATCCAGGAGAATATCCCTAATTTAGCAAAAGGTAAAGATACTCAGATGTATGAGGCATACAGGACCCCAGCTACCTACAACCCTAACAGAGAAACACCCAGGCATATAATACTAAAAATTCCAGAAATTCAATACAAGAACAGAATATTAAAAGCTGTAAGAGACAAAAAACAGACCACTTACAAGGGAACACCCATCAGAATTACAGCAGATTTCTCTCCACAAACCATCAAATCACGAAGAGCGTGGGGGGAAATAATTCAAGCTTTGAAAGATAATAATCTCCAGCCAAGATTGAGATATCCTGCACAACTGTCCCTGGAAATTGATGGAAAAACAAGGTGCTTCCAGGATAAAGAGGAACTGGGGGAATTTGCAACCACCAATTCAACTCTACAGAAAGTACTGCAGGATATTCTAAAAAAAGAAAAATACAAAGAACCCAGAAATAGTGGCGGGGAGGCCACAACGAATGGAGCAGAGAACAAAATGAAGAAGACAAACTGACAGCTACTGACAGAAAAAGAGCTCAACAGAAATGAGACAGAGAAGATTGGATGATAGGAACAGCTATTTTGGAGAAAATGACATCTTAATAGGTAATACTGATTTAGTATCATCTTGTTTTTAAAGTCTCATCTAGCTTTTGTTCTTCTGTCTCCAATGGTCTAAACAGGTTGTATCTTATTGGATTTTATTATGTACGATAGTATAAGCAAAAACCTTTTAAATACAAGGAGATTATACAGAAACCATTGTTCATTTTCTGTTAGTCGATTCTAAATACTCTGTAATGCTGTCATTCTCTTAAATGGTTTTACATTGTTTTGATATACTTAATGCTACAGTATACGAAGTTGTACTCAAGGACTTCAAGGAAAGAGTCAATATGGTAACTACTTTTATGTCAGGATTATCTTGTGGTGAAACACTATTCTGCTTAAATGGTTATGTTTTGATCTGCGCTGTTTCGCTGTTATGCCCTCTTTTTTCTCAATCTCCACTCCATTATTTACTTTTTAATTTTTATCCATTTAATTAAAGGGGAAAAAATAGCAGGATATAATATAGTAACCCACTTTGACTTTCTATTATCTCGATTTGAAACCCTGTATTACTCTCACCATCTTGTTTTTGACTGATGTTCCCCTATTCTGTTTTGATGGATAGTATCAGGTTCGAAAGTTTAGGCATCAGCTGTGAAGATAATGAGATTCATTATAACGCCCATTCTCATTGACTTTTATCTACTTTTGAAGACCTACAATGTCTCCAATGTTTTGGTTTTGTTCTTTACTGTTTTGTTCAATTGTATTATAACTAATGATATAGGCAATTCTATTAGAGATAGCGGGAGGCATTATGGTAACCATTGTTGATCACCTTGCATTGTTTTTATATTATCTATTATGTCCACCCTTTTGACTTGACCGATTCTGTTCTGTTATGTCTCATTTGGTTTTACTCTCTTCCAAAAAAGTAATAAGAACCGTGGGAGCAATGAAACCCAAAATGTGTAATAGTCATTGTACAAAAGAGAGGAAAAGAAAGTGCTCTAAACTATATAACTGCATGTATATTTAAGTGTATAAGATAGAAAATGATATCACAGAGTTTTATTGGATCATTGAACAGAACTGTTTGCAGTATCATTGTTGGGATGTCCACTCTACAAGCTTTAATTTTGTGACTTGAACAATTATTTCTAAGATGGCAATATGTAATCCATTAACTAGTGATTTCCTACTGTTCATTTTTTTCTTCTGTAAATCTGTATAACTTGTACCCTTTCACTGTTTTTTTTTCTTTTCTCCTTAAATAAAAAAAAATAAAAATCTGAAGAGCAATCAATGTCATATACAAAAACATATCAGAAAGCCTCAAGTAATAAAACTTCACAAATTAACAACGACAGAAGCAGTTAAGTACATGGATAAAAAATATTAGGAAAAAAAAAGCCAGGGTGGATGCTTTTACTAGAGGTCAACTATAAATATGGGCATCTCTGATTAAAACCTAAAGAGGAAACTTCATTGCACTGACACATTATAATACAAACTAAAAGATTCACTCGTCTTTCCATAAATTCCGATTTTGAAGAGTAGTCACAACTTATCAAACCAGAAAGAACAAGTTTAGCAAAAATGAGAAATAAACAGTTATGCAATCTATAATATACAGTCAGTCTCTGACTTACAAAGGATTATTCAAATTTTGAACTTTCACAGGTATATAGTATGAAACTGACTTTGTCAGCTTATGAACAAATCTGACTTACAAACAATTCTCCCAGATTGGAACTCATTCATTAAGTTGAGGACTTACTATACAGACAATAAAACAACATAACTATAATACATACACTGTATCAGTGTCATATTCCTGATTTTGAGAATGTATTATAATTATATGATACAGTCATCAGAAGAAAATGGATAAATGTGTACGGAGAACTTGTTTATTCTTTGTAACTTCGTATTAATTTATAATTACTTTGAAATAAAAAGTAAAAAAAGATGCATGAGAACTATTTTATTCCACACACTATTACAGAAAGGGACAGAAAAGGTCAGAAGCACAGTTGGGAAGGAAATAATACTACCACTACCACAAAGTGTCTATATTAAAGAACACTAAAAAGGTACATTAGCATGGGGTAAAGAGAACAAAGAACAGATGCAGACAAAACATATCCCAATAAAGACAATATAGTAATACCACACTAAACTCTAGCAGTAACAAACAATTGTAACAGTTCACATTAAAGACCAAAGGTCAAAGATCAAATAACTGAATGAAAGAAAATACATTTAAAAAAATTCTTCCTGAGAGTCTTATTTCCAAACAATTTAAAAATAAACAATCTGATTGGATAATGGATACAAATAACTACATTTAACTTACTAGGCGTTTGCTACTCTTGACTTCACATTGAGAAAAAAATTATGGGCTGATAACTTACATTAAGTTATAAATTTTTATTTAATATTACAAATAATCAGAAACAATTCTTCCCTAATCAATTAATGTTTACTGCTGATCCTAATAAGATGGCTTAAAAATGAACAAAGTATCACAATCAGTACATGAACAATGAACCATTCTAGACACTTCAGCAGAATTCTTTGACTAAGCCTAGCCAGAAATGGTGGCTGGAAGGACTCACCTATATGTGGCTGCTGAGCCGCTGCTAACGCGTACTGCTGCTGCTGGGCTGCAGTTAACTGCTGGACCGTTAGTGCATTGGTCCTCTGGAAGAGCTAGGGAAGTGTGAGACACACAAGTTAGCGCCATAACACTTCACTTCTAATTAGAAGCTGTGAAGAGACACTTTAAACACTTTCTGAACCTCGAGAACATTTTAATCAATGAAACAGCAAAGGTTAGAAAACCCCTATCAACTGCAGATTCACTGCATACAACTAACAGCTGTTGCTTTTGTTTTTCTAGAAGTTTCTTAATGAAAGAATACACTTTACCTGCTGCTGAGAACTGTAGTCAAAAAGGCCTACAGTAGCTCCTGAAGAGTCCATGGGTACCTGGTTACCAGGATAGTCAAACTGTAAGGAATCCAGACCAACTTGTTCCATGGCATCCAGATTCTGAGTTTCAGGATTTGAAAATTCCTCAACAAGTGGTTTATTAGCTGTAGGATTGGGAAGAGGACCCAGTCCTTCTGGGGGATTAGCACTGGGGCCAAGGCGCTCAACTACTTCAGTTGGCGAGGCTTGACGACTTCCGGGAGTACGGCTAAATAAAAAATAAAAGCATTATGAATAAAAGTCAAAAGGTAAAATGAGAGAGTTACAACCATGAACAAAAAATGGTGGTAAAATAGGGAAAAAAGATGGTATTCTGATTACTAACCACTGTTCCTTTTCACATTTTTATTTCTAGTTAACATAATTTATCAGACAAATGTTGATGCACCATCAATTATTTTTTACATTATTAATGATCTTTTTCCTCAATTTGAACAGCGTAAGGACTTAATTTTACAGGTGAGAACATCACATCTTACATTTATACTATCCGAGACCTTCGTCTTAAATCACAGACAAAATGAATGGCAACTATGAAAGGTAGACTGTTAAGGAGCAAATATGGAGAGGGCCAAATTAAAATCCACACACCATACTGGTGGCTGCCCACAGAAGCTTGTGATTTTACTAAAGCATCTTGCTTAATAATGATTTAAGAATGTAAAACCTGGGATTCAACAGAAAAAGGCACTAAAATAAAGACAAAGGATGGCTCTTTGAGCAAATCATTTCATCTTTAGACCTCAAGGTTCCATAGGGCTTGAATAGATGACCTGATGCTCCAACTAACAACAGAAATTATTTGTGAAAGCTTTTTTCAACTGCCCAAAGACCACCTTTCATCATATCAAATTCCTGTATTTTAAACTATCAGAAAGAAATGTAACTGTGTAATATATTTACAAAAACTGAACTCAACAGCATGAAAAAAAACTCTTTTCTGCACTATGCCTTCCTTCATCTTTCCAAAAATTTCATTAACACTGGACTAATATTGGGCTAATCCAAATGTAAAGCACTGGCTTCTCTCTTTTCATCAACATCCCTCAGGGTATAAATTTTATTTTTACCTTCTTTCTAATCCTCACTTACAGTCTATTTTTCTTCTACATAGGTATTTTATATAGGATTTTCCTTACAGAAGTTTTTTTGAGGAACCATGTATTCACTGTATATTCAAACATATACATTATCAATGGCAGTGTTTCACCTGGTTCTTAATACCCTGTCCCTAACTTTAGGCCTTTACACATCAGCACTAATCTGCTAATATGCCAGAGTAGTTTGCAAAACAATTCCTAATTCTGAGATCTATTCTCAACCTGAGCATTACATTCATTTAAAAGTCAACCAGTCTTGCAGCACTAGATTTCAAACTTCCTTCTCTTCCAGTCACAACTTACTTGTCTAGAAACATGTTAAAGGCTCACTTTTCATTTGAAAACTATGCAAAGAAAAAACAAAAGTGAAAAGATTCTGTATAATTGTACTAGTGAAGGAAGAAAGGGTAAGAAAAACAACCTAGGGTCTTCTCCTACATCCCCATTCTTTTTTAAGTTTTTACTTTGAGACAGTCTTGCTAAGTTGCTGAATTCCTCTGGTTATGCTTGAAGTTGTGATCCCCCTGCCTCAGCCTCCCAAAGTGCTGAGATTACAGGCTTGTGTCACCATGCCCTGCTCAAGTGATTCTTTTGAAACACTTTTACCTTGCAGGTAGTGGCTAATACTGTACTGAAAATAATTGATAATTTTAAATATATAGAACTTACTAGGATAATATTTGAATGCTAATGAAGTTCATAATAATTTAAAGGAGGATATATAACCTTTCACACAAAATAACTCATACAGCAAAAAGCAAAAGACAAAAAAATCATGCTATCAGTAGTGCTATTTTCTTGCTATAGTTAACAGTGTGTTCACACTTCAATTACAAATGTACAGTATAATGGGTTATAACAACTGAGTTTTAAAGATATGCCCTTTAGTAAAACTTAGATTAGATATTACCAGAGAAGCAAAATTTACAAAGATCTGCACTGAACAACATTAACTTTCTGGTTAAAAGAGGTTTATTGGTTTTGGATGCTTTTTGTACTTAGAACAGATAGAAACAAGCACTATTTTTAAGACACACTGCTATTCTGCTTTGTTAATTAAGGGCAATAAATATAAAAGCATATAACCCACAGATTTACTCTTATCTAAGACTCCATGTTTCACAAGATCTCAAAGAAACAGCTCATTTTCAGGTAACAGCTCCAAAGCATCAGAGACTACTAAAGTGACAAAGCTCAGAAATTAGTTTGGAACTAATAGATAATTGTGTACTGCACCTAACCTAAAACCAAAGGTTGAAGCACCTACTTAATTGCCTAAAGAGAGAGTTAAAGTATTAACTTAAGAAATTCTGAATTTAACACTAATTTTCTGAAGCTTGTCATACATTCCCCATTTTCTATATAATAGAATAATATTAATACCTCAAGCTCATATATTATAGGAAAAAGGTCACTGTTTCTAATTTTGTCCCATTTCTAATACTAAATATTTAATGAACTTAAGAGGATACAGTAATAGAAGACAAAAAATTCCACAATTCCACTGAAAAGTGCTGAATGGAACTCCAAGAGGGGGGCAAAAAAAGCCAGATTAAACCTGTAACTCACTAAATTTTCAGATGAAAAAGTTCAAATTTAAACTATCATATTAAAAAAAAAGTAACAGCAGCTTCTAACATCATTCCTCTCACAGAATGTACCATTTTGGATACTGTTTTGAAGATTTATTTTTAGTGGCTCATAATCATTAGCTAACTTTCCTTACAAAAAGGAAAATACTGGCACTGCTGGTAGAAGTGTAGACTGGTGCAATCACTGTGGAGGTCAGTCTGCAGATTCCTCAAAAAGCTGGGATTGGAAGTCCCACTTGACCCAGCTCTTCCACTTCTGGGCATATTCCCTGAAGAACTGAAAACATCATACCACAGTGATATATGTGCACCCATGTTTACAGCAGCACAATTTGTAATCACCAGATCTTGGAAACAACCTAAGTGTCCATCAACTGAGGAATGAATAAAAAAGTTGTGGTATTTTTATACAATGGAGTACTACTCAAGTATAAAGAATGAGCACACTGAGATATTTATAAATAAATGAATGCAACTTGAGCCCATACTAAAGTGAAATAAATCAAACTCACGTGTATAAATACCGTATAGTCTTCCCTAGTATAAGAAATGGTAACAGTACGTAAGGTTTTATGGTAATTATGGTTCTCCATTATATTGAAGTCTTATAATATTGCATTCATTGGTTGGAATGGTTTTGTTCTGTTTTGTTTGATTTTATTATGTGTGATGGTATGAACAGCTATTGTTAAGAAAACAAGACATTATGGCAGCCACTGCTGATTTAGTATCATCTTGCTTTGAAGTCCTACCACGCTTTTGTTCTTCTGTTTCCATTGGTTCTACCATGTTGTGTCTTACTGGATTTTAAAAGGTATGATAGTATAAACAAATTTTTTAAGGAAAATGAGATATTTTTATTTTTAAAAAATTTTTTATTTAAAGGGAAAAAAACAGTACAAGGGTACAAGTACAGAATTACAAAAAAAAAGGGTAAGAAATCACTAGTTAATAGATTATATATTGTTATCTTAGAAATGGTTGTTCAAGTTACAGGATTAAAGCATACAAAGTGGACATTCAAACAGTGAGACTGCGGAAAATGAGATATTATAGTAACTTTTGTTCATTATTGGATATTTGGTTTTGAATGTCCTGTAATACTTCCATTCTCTTGAATGGGTTTATACTATTTTGTTATATTTGATATTACTGTGTGTGAAGGTATGCTCAACTATTTCAAAGAAAAGAGACATTATGGTAACTACTGTTGATATCCGGTTGTCTTACTGTGAAGTGCTGTGTTGCTTGCAAGTGTTTTGTTCTGTTCTCTTTCGTTTTATTCTCTTTAAAATAAAATTAAAAAAAAAAAAAAAAAAAGTAAAACACTGGTCCAGACTAACAAAGTTGAAAGGAAGTAAAAGGAAAACTAAACTGCAAAAGTACTGAATCAGTCACATCAATTAATTATCATACTCCATAAAGATATGCTTTTATTCATGAGAAAATTAAAATCTTACTTAAAATCTTTGCAATCGGCATCCATTCCATTTGGCAAACCTCTGCCATTTATTTTAGAATCATCATCATCTCCTTGTTTACGATCTCTGTTTTGGTCCTCCTCAAATGGAGAAGCCTTGCCTTTTTGATCTGCTTTCTCAGGTCCATCTGTTTCAGCATCTCTAGTGCCCTGAGGAGAAAGAATCTGATTCTCAATACTTAATTGAACACAAAAAGAGGCACCACAGTGTGACTTAAAACTACAGTACAGAGCATGTAAACAATAAAAACATTGAATTTTATTTTAATTTCTTAACTAATTTAGCAAGTCCAAAAACTTAAGGTACAAATTACAGTGATTCTAGCAGAAGGGTTAAGGCAAGCTTAACTATAGTGGTGCTAGAAAGCAGTAACACCATAAACTAGACTGAAATATTTAATGCATGGACAATTTTATTTAGTTAACTCCAGATCAAGTAATACCAGGAATACACAATTTTAATTTTGAAAAATATCTTAAAATGTGGTTTGACTTTCGTAACATGGTTAAGATCATAAATATTCCCAATGGTTATATTCTTCCACGTATTTCCTGAAGTGGAAAAGCAAAGAAAACAGGAGTGTAAGTATCTACAAAATTTCACTTAGTTCTAGGGAGGAAGGGAATAATAAGCTGACTTAAATAACTGTCAAGCAAACATTAAATACTTTTTTACTCAAAATACTTACAAAAGTTCCCTTCCTAAATCGAGAGTCCAATTTATCAGCAGGAGAAGAACTTAGTACATATTCTACCATGCTCACACCAAGGCCTCCACTTTCTGATCGCGGAGACAATATTGCATTTACTTCACTGTTTCCATGAAAACCCTGTCCAGATCTTCTTTGTACCATAATAGGCTGGGACATTGAATGATCTGTTTGGAACAAAGAATATGATTATATATTTGTACTTTTTTTTTGGCACCGCGGATCAAACTCACGACCTCATGCTTGCCAGGGAGCGCTTACACCACTGAGCTAAATCCCCGGCCCTGTATTTGCACTTTTAAGGTAAACAAAACAGTACAAAAGTTAATATACTAAAATGAGAAAAATCACTCTTTAGATTTTGTAATAATAATCTTTTTTTTTTCTCTTCTCTTTTCTTCTTAAGATAAGTCTTGATCTGTAATTCAGGCTGCTCTTAAACTTGGTATGTAACTCAGGCTAGTCTTCAACTCCTAACAGTCCTCCTGCCTCAGTCTCCCAAGTGTTAGGATTACAGGCGTGCACCACCAAGCCCAGCTTGTAACAATAACCTTACAGTTTTCCATTCCACTGACACTCTCTGGCTCATCTTTCAAAAACACAGAACAGCCCTTTGGCAACAAACAAGTCTATGAAAACAAACTTCAGCCACAATGGTCACTGGAGGCAGACATCAATATGAAGGCTGTGTTGTTCAACAGCATTATACTAAAAACTTAATGTTCTTTGTAATGAAAGCTTTTAGGAATAAAACCTAGATTAAAAAATATGTCCAAATTGGTGGCATACCTTCAACACACACTTTCGTACTGGACAGATTCAGAACACACTACTGCAACACTATAAACACAAATGAGTTTGGAAGATCAGCAATAACACAGAATACTCTATTCTTGTGTGAAAATGCTGTCATCTAAAGATTTTTAGAAACAACTTCTAAAATTTCCCATTTATCTTTAGACGTTAACTATTTACCTGATAGGAATATAAGATATTCCTATGAAAAAGGCAGTATTTAAGATCTGAGAGCTACTGGGACACACATATAATTAACACATTTGAGACAACATCCAAGTAGTTTTTGCTGAAAATTCTTAATAAGCTTCTAGTTTCTCTGGCTCATTTGAGAAAGGGTGCAACACTCTTATTTGGTCTAGCCCTTCCTTAAACTATCTATGCTGCATGTCATAAAAGCATTTATTTCACTAAATGACTGCTACTTTTGTTAAATCATACTACAACATTTTCAGCTCAGTACCTGTCTGTCTAAGAAATTACCCATTACATCCTTTCATTTATGCACCTACACAGTTGAAATACTGACTTACTGTCTCTTGTATATTCAGCACTGTGCTGCATATGGAGAATGGAACAGTCATCTCAAAATGAGAATACGTTTAATAGAAGGAAATCACCACAGAACAAAAGTGCTTCAACAAAAATAATCCACAATACTACAGGAACAAAAAAGATGGGTCACTGATTCTTTCTAGTCTTAAGACTGAATCCCAAAAGATGGCATTTAAGCATCAAGTAAAAAGTGAAGAACTAAACTGAGCAAGTTGAGTGTGAAAACACCTTTGTTACAGAAATCAGCATATGCAATGGACGAAGGTGCCAGGAAAGCATAAACTGACAATTCAAGTACACTGCTCTAGCTGAAGAGTTTCTCATACTATGCATTTAAGTCTCCTGCAGTCAGGAATTTGTGGAACTTTTATAGCATCACAATTACCTTAGAATAAGAAACACTGTTCATATTTATACATGTTTGGCATTCAACAAATGTTAGGTAATCAAATTTCCATTTCTAATTTTCTTATTTTATAGTAAAAGACTAGTAATGAAAATTCCATCAGCGCAACTAAAACTTCAAATTCAGAACATGCTACAGAACTAGCTTAGAATGATGTATTTGACATTTTTTCTACCACCTATCTTAAAAGTAATCTTTCATTTTCATGTTATACTCAAAATGCTTTGCTTGTGAGCACCTTAAAAAAATCTGTCTCTAATAATTACCTCAACTCTCTTTTTTTTTTTTTTTTTAAATTTTTTGGTACTGGGGATCAAACTCACAACTGGTTATTTGTAAGGCAGATGCTCATGCCACTGAGCTAAATCCCCGGCCCGACCTCTTTTAACTCTTAAAACGTTCAAAAATCAAGTTATCAATTCCAAACAAGTACTCTTCGTAGCATGTGCTATTTGTAGGGAACGTCTAACCCAGTCTAAATTAGCAGAAATTTCAAACTATAGGTCTAATATAGGTTAATTCTAATTGCAAACTGCCTGAGTTCTGATTTATCTCCAAACTTGGCACACAACCAGTTAAACAGTGGTTGAACAGAAATAATTTTCTTTTCCTTTTGGGTACTGGGAATCCAACTCTTATCTTGCACTTGCCAGTCAACCTAAATTAGCTGTTACCAGTTTTTTTTTTAATAATGTTTTATTTTGTTTTTGTACTGGAGATTGAACTCAGTGCCTTCACACTGAGCTAAATTCCCAGCCCTTTTTTATTTTTATTTTTCTACTTTGAGACAAGGTCTTGCTAAGGCACTAAGTTGTCCAGGTTGGGCTCAAGCGTGCAATCCTCTATTTTGACTGAAAAAGAAAAAAATTATGAAAATTTCCTAGAACTTCCTAATCCTTTGGGTTTTAGCTTTTTGGTATTTAGTAGCAATGAATTTAAAACTGAAAAGTTTTAAATGTTTTAATAATTTGGAGACTAAAGAAATATCTAGTCACTTATAGTAATTAACACTCAAAATGTAAGGTGAATCTAGTAACTGTCATCTGGGAATTTGGTTTTCATTACTTTGGTCATTCTGCATAACTTAAATAGGCTTCATTAAACTCCATAATGAAAAGAGAAAATTTACCTGCAAAATATATACATGTTGACATATCTGTACACTCCTCAAATTTATTAATCAGAAATAGTAAAAAACAAAATACAATGATAAATATGCTATTTTAAGAATACAGCTACACTTTTAAATTTACCAGTAAACACTGTGACTCCTGCAGGTTACACTCCTTGTATGACAGTTTCTGTTCCCTTAGACCCAAGACTCTTTCTACTACTTACAGAAACAACCACCATTTACATCTGCTCTTTCTAGGAGCTTTGTAAACCAACTATCTGGTAAACCAACACAGTTTACCTCCTTTCTGGTGCAGTTTAATAAAGCTACAATGAGCAGTAATTAGATAAATAAGTCATGGCTACCTAACACAAGATTGAAAATTCCTATGGTTAAGTTAGTATGTCCTCTATTTCATTCATTCATTCATTCATTTATTGTACCGGAGACTGAACTCATGACCTTCCATTTGCCAGGCAGGTGCTTGCACCACTGAGTTAAATCCCCCACCCCACCCTCTATTTTAGAGTAGTAATTCAAAATTTTATTATCAGTTAATTTAAAAAAGAAGTAACAAAATGTGGTAAATCCCATACATGTGCTATCAGATAAGGATTAACTGCCATAAGAAAACATGATTATCATTTATTAAATTCTCAATAAAGACATCAAATTTTTTCCTAATATTATTTATGGATAAGAAGGGCTTATAAAACATCAAATCTATTCACAATGTTCATGTAATAACTTACGAGAAGTTCCCCATGCAGTCTCTCTCCATTCATCGTCCCCAAGAAATATGCCTTTTTGTCCATCTTTTGTTGAATCATCAGGTTCCCAAAATTTTTTGGTAGGCAAAAGCTATTTGGAAGGGAAAAATTTGTATTTAAATTTTATTCTAATTACAAATATGGATACAAATAAATATTACTCTGATATGTACACACTTTGATGTTAATAAAGTCAAAGTGATTTATTTTCTAAGTTGTCTCATCAATAATAAAATAACTTCTCACCCATGTCTACATGCTGGCTCTAATAATTCTGAACCTTAATATTACTCAAGGTCCACTTCTGAGTTTATTTCGCAAAATTTTTGTTAAGAGTGTGATTTTTTAATACATAAATTTCTTCCAAAGGCTTAATTTAAAAAAATGTTTACATATATATTTTTAAAAACTTTTGTTTGTTGGTAACTGGGTCTGGCTATTGTCCAAGCTGACCTCAAACTCACTTCTCTTAACCTCAGTCTCCTGAGCTGCTGAGGTTATTTACAGGCATGAACCACCATGCCCCGCTCTTTAAAGTTCTCACTCAATAAAAGATACTCAGAATCTCAACAGTAATAACCGAAGATATCTTTTTACTTCCCAAAAATACTTCTGACAATGCCTCATCTTATAGCTTTCATGATAGAAAATATTTTTTTCATTCTTACTTCAGTTGCTCAATGGAAGTGAACTTGACAACTCTTACTAGTTCATGGATACTATCAATCTGTCAATCCCAAATCAAAAAGCTATAGACTGATGATGAAAAACACACCAAAAAAACCTACTAATACTTCTAAGGTAACAACCTCAAGCCCTTGCCCTCTATCCTATATGATGACGTAAAACACCATAAACTATGCTGATAAAACCACTTGCTAATTACTCAAAATTCCTATCTGGGCAATTCCTAAAATCTCTCTGTCTCTGTCTGTCTCTGTCTCTGTCTCTCTCTCTCTAAGTCTCTCATCCCTAACACTCCGAAGAGGCTGCCTTGGGATGTGTGTCTGAAAACAACAGACTGGTTTTCTGAGATACAGTTTGGCATTGTACAACACATGTTCATAAAACATGCATCACTCTCAGTCCAGAATCAGGTGGTTGGTCATTCAGTGCTCATTATCCAACCTGTATATACTACTACTACTGCTACTACTATACTAATCACACTAAATTAGCTGCACCTGCCTCTTTAAGCGCATGATGACCTCGTCCTCAAAGAGCCCACATAGAGACTATAATAAAATGAAAATCAGTAACACCTGAGTTGGGACAGAAGTGCCAATACAGTATGCATCCTGGAGTGTGGAGGTGAGGGTTGGGAGCTGCTAGAGGTTGAAAGGTAAGAAAGACATTAAATAAAGAATAAACAAAATAGTGAAAATGGAATTTGCCTAAGAAAACACATGATGTATAAAACAGTACAGACAGAGGAACAGATACAGGAAGGCCAAAACTTCATGCTGGTGAAGTAAAGCATGTCAAGGGCCCTCACAAGGCATGCCAAGGAAATTAGATGTTACACTGAAGCAACAGGCGGTCTGGACAAGTTGCTAGAGTGATACTATGTTTTGGAAGTAGTTCATGATGTAAGAATAACAGAAGAGGCAAAAACTATAGCGACAAGACCAGTTTAAGAAAGCTAAACAACAGAGACAAGATAGCAAGAACTGGAAAAGGGTATGAGTAGAAAGAAATGGACAACGAGGAGTTCCCACAAAAAGTCCAGTAAGTAAACTACAACTTCCAATTGTAGTTTAAAAGAAACATAAAAGATTCATGTAAGTATTCAAAATATAAAGCTGATAATACTATTAAAGCATATTTTATATAAATAACTGAGCATTCATTCATAGTAAAAGCCAATGTAATCCCTTAAAAATAGTTTAAAGAAGCTATTGCAGCTAGATTAAAATCATGCTGAAAATAAATGTTTTGCCCAAAAAAAAAAACCTTCAGCATCAAAAAAATAATGAAACAAAGAACCGAAAATAAAGTCGTATCAAAAGAAGCATCAGCCAAAGATGAAGAAGTGGTAAAACACTCTCAGTAGAAGAAATAACAGAACTCTGGGGAGAGACTATTCCAAAACCTTCTCAGAGTTTGGTGACTGCCTGGGACCACTGCTTTACAATGCAAACTGCGTAATGGTGGTGGTGGCAGGGTTGGTTTCCAGTGTCCAACGTTTATCGAGCATCACACGATACGAGTAGCTCACCGTTTTTGCACATATTTGTTACCATACATATGAAAACAATTTAGTAGTTAAAATTAACTATCAAAGGCCTACACCAATATTCTACACCTGCTTTCTGTAGCAATTTAGATAATGATTCAAGTATAGTTAGAGAAACTATTTAATCTTGTAACCAAGAGTAAATCATAATGGACTAAATATAACAGAAGGCAACAACTGAAGAAACAGGACAGTTTAAAAGAATTTTTAAAAGGTTAAATGATAAACTGAAATTTCTTTCAATGAAAGAAATGGAAATAAGATTTGCCCCTGGAGACTCTTATTGTAGTAGAAATAAAATGTACATTACAGAACACAAGGTTAAGAGACCTTAAATATCTGCAGAATACATTACCTAACACCACTCTGCATTAGTTGCCTGATTCAAAAAAGTTCTAAAACAAGGTCAGGACATTCAGCATTTCTTATCAATTTGCCCTTCTATCCTTCTAACTCAGAAATGACTAAGTGGATATACAATATTTTTAAGAAGTATTTTTGGTTTGCCCTCTCCATTTCTGAGGAAATCAGCACCTTAGCATATTGCCTCAAAATTAACAAATCAAATTCTTGTTCCAACATTTACAGGGCATACACTTATATGCCCCCTTTTTAAAAATATTAAACTATAATGTGAAACTCCAAATCTATCAAATTAACATAACTGAAAGATTTAAAAGCTCAATGTTTACATTATGTTTTAAATGCAGAGATTCATGGAAATCTCAATCCAATCTGGGACACTGGGATGTTACTAATAATTAGTGTATTCCACTACAACACATACCTAACTGGGCTCTACTGGGCAAATCAGGATGAAAGAGTATCTTTTTTACTGATACAAGTTCACATAAGACAAAAATAAATGGTAAACATGAAATTGTATGAGAATAAAACACAAGGTAACTCCTTAAAACTCAAGATGACATTTCTGATTTTTAATCTTTTCTATGAATAAAAGATATTAATACCTTTAAATTTCCCAGCTCATATTACTTCTCTACATCTCTATTTCTGATTTACCTTAATATCAACTAGAAAAATTAAATTATTTCCAGTGGGAAGGAATACTATAGTTAAGACACTGATAAATTCAAATTATCATTCAATTATTATGTGGCTGTGGGCCAGGCAATTTATATCTCTGAGTCAGTTTCCTCAAGTGTAAAGAAAAAATAAATAAATAAAAAATTAAAAAAGCTCCTATCATAGAATTATCAGACTAAAATAACGTTAAGTACATTTCTTAACACATCACCTTGCCTGTAACATTAGAAATCTTTCTATCACAAAGTATAACTCCTTTAACATTGTAAAACGGGAATTAACACACTAGTCTGCAACATGAGTGATTATTGTAAAGAATTATATCTTTCATTACATGCCTATAGCTGCTGGCCTTCTTTTTCCTTGAGTCAAGTTTCAGCATCCTCACAGGAAGATGAAACCCTATTATTTACGAAGACCAGCTGCCTCGTATGGTCACATTCCACATAAGAAAGTAAAAACTCAAGGTTCTATTGCATACAGCCAGTACACTGCAGCAACGACATCTGAACTCATTATCTATTTTCTGTTTACCACAGAAGACAGTTCTTTTCAAATACAGTCCAACTAACCAATATTTTTAAAATTTTCAGCATCAGAACACCACTAGGGAAATGAGAAGAGATTTAAGATACTGTGATGGTCTTTCCATTATAATGGACAAACTATAAGATGACAGAATTTCTTGGATTAACCAAGTACAGTAAGTCCGATTTGTGAATAAGTTCCGTTCTAGGAGAATGCTTAAGTCAGATTTGCTTATAAGTTTGACAAGGGAATCTTACACATCTTTGACAAAAATATACACTGTAAAGCATAAAAAAAAGATGACAGAATTGTTGGCACACGAATTATATAAATGTTCACCTATTTGAATACTATCAATAACAACTGGCTTCAATCAAAGTTTGAGCATTTGAGGGTGGGTTATCACTTAGTGGCACAAATGCCTGCCTGGCAAGCGCAAGGTCCTGAGTCTGATTTCTGGTACCAAAAAAAAAAAAAAAAAGTTTGAGCATTTGAGATGTGTAATTCATACAACAGGTTATTCTTACTTGTTTTCAGAAGTTAGCCTTGCTCAACAGCATACCACTAGTGAGAGATGAGAAAGGAGAGGGCATCATCTATCATACTAAGCTATGAAAATACCCTCAAAGTAAATCACATTAAGTAAGTGATTTAAAGATAAATTCTGGGTTCCCTAAGGAATTTCAGGCAGGGTCTTTTTTCCTATCATTTAAAAAATAAACAAGAACCCTGCTATTATTATTATAATAATCTAGAGATGAAAATGTGCCTCATAGTGTTTCAATTAAAAATTGCTCATTTTGTCACTTTATTCTTTTTAAGCTACATGACATAACAGAAACCACTAGGTCTATTAGGTAAAAAATAGTAAGGGTGAACTTATGAACAGATGAATATAAATGTTTACATTTCTGAATGAATAACCAAGAGACTGCCCTTCTAATGATGGCTCAGTAAACCCATCCTGATCTACAAAAATAGGAACTGTCCATTTGAGATGAGTCCTATATGTAAATGCAGTGCTTTATACATTAGAGATTTGTAACACTTAAGACATAACAACCATAACTTAAAAGTCAAGAGTAGGGCAATCTTCTGAAAAAGGTTTAGCATTACAAAAAAAAATTTTGTAAAAAGTAAATTTAGAAAACTCAAGGGCCAGAAATCTAAGGCTGCTTTTAATGTATTTCAATGAATCAACTCTGGGATAAAATAACAAAAAACCTCACCTGTAAGGAAAGGAGGAGAAGACTGGTGAGAGAGAGACAGGCAAAGAAGGAAATCCCAGAAGGTTCCCTGCTGCCTGTGAGATGAGGAAAGATAGAAAGGCTTGTGGGAGAGAACTCAGAGACAGAAAGCTGAGTAGTTTTCTGAGCCATCTCTTACAGTTAACAATATTAACTGGTAAACTATTAAGGAACAAAACTTATTTAGTAAAAACATTTAAAAATACATTTGTACTGAATGAAAGTCATAGACATAACTGACCTGCTGCTCTCTACTAAGCAGCAGACAACCTAAGACCCAGACATTTTTGCTTTCCATGTTAGACATACCCCTCTGGAGAGCCTGAATTTAGGGTTATTCAACATACTCTTCAACTCAGCCAGATTTTTAAAACATCCTTCTAAATAACAAACTCTTTCAGGTACTGTTTCTGATCCTGACATATTTTAAGACTAAAAAGATACCTTTAGACTAATCAGATATTTAGAAAGTGGGAAAAAGAAAAATCTATATAAAAATATCTACACAATACACATCTTATAAATGCAGGGAGTCTAAAATTAATGCAGGGATGTGACTTTTCTTGCTCAAGAACCAAGTTCAAGTCTATAAGAACAGAAGGCTAATCTGCTTTTAAGGTAATGTTATTTTGCTTTCTAAACACCAAGGAAAATAACTGACAGTGAAAGAACAAAAGCCCTTTCAAATTCCCACTTGTTAGTCTCTCACACAGTGTAACTACTGCCCAAGCAGCCACTGTGCGACAGCAAAGCTATACCTTTTGTTTAAAAAAAACAAATCCCTCTCTCAATTTTTTCTTAGGGCCCAGCACTTCATCTTATGCACTGGACTAACAGGTTTTTTTAATTTTGGTAATACTTAAGCTTAAGCACCTTAACTCACCCTTAAATCAGTCCTCTGAAAATGACAAACTCTTTGGAAAACGCTGTTCTGAAGAAGGGGAGGGTTAGCTAGCTGCAGGGTGCCCTCTTGTGGCCCAAAGGAGTGACTGGACTCTTTGTCTGCATCTGAAGAGCACAGCATTGGATGGAGTGAGTCTCATGAAGGTCTCTAATCTACCGGAGTAAAATAATCTCCAGGAGCAGGCAATTAATTACATATCTTAACTCTGTTCACTATTATCAAAGTCCACACTAAGTAGAAAAATATATGACAAGAGATTTCATAATCAAATTTTTCTAAAATTTAACTATGTTTATGGAAAACTAAGTATTTTAGATGCCTTGAAATACACAATGGTGAGGTTAAACTGGTGCTCCAAAGAAAACCATAGATTAAAAGGAATGATAAAATTAACTTTAAAATATGGAGAATCTACTATCTTTGGTATTCAAAGCTAGCAATTTAAAGGAGAGACAAATATAAATCAAACTGTAACCAATAACATAATGCAAGTATGTTTAAAGAACTGGCAGAAATCAGATGAGGAAGTAATTAAATTCTACTCCTACAGCACTGACACATCTCGTCTCCAGTAACGTCTCACAAGGGATTAAAAGTTTATTAAGCAAACAGCTTTAGATGAACAAGAAAAGTCTGGGGGAGGAATAATAGTGAACAATAACGTATAGTTAAAGCAAACAAAGCATACATACATACATACAATGACAGAACAAAGATAAGTGTTTTCTTCTAAGCAAAGCTGTGTACCAAAATATCACCCAAATAGAAAACATTACCTAACCAAGTCACCTAGACACAAATAATCACATGAAAAACTACTTATTACTATAGATTGAAAAAAGCAGGTGAAAATCTTAACTACACAATTTATAATCTGATGTTGAAAAATAATAATTTGGAAGATATAACCACAGTTTCCAAGATTTATGGTTAAAACACTAAGTCTCAACAGCTCAAAGTGAGATATAAGTTCTTAGTATTGGTAAGTATTTACCTCTCCCATTCCCCGAGATTCTAATGCAAGAGCTTGAAAATCATGATTCATTTCATCCACAGATCAAACCTGTTGAATAAAAACAAAAATTAGACTGTTTCCACATCATATATATTGCTGATAATACTAGTATTAGCATAAGCTGAGATGGGCAAGAACAGATTTCTCTAAACAGACAGGTTTTCCCAGAAAGACTATCACATGCACATTAAAATTTGTAGAAAAACATAGGGTCAGTGGTTTTTTTTAGATTATTCTGTGCGCCAAAAGAAAACTACAAGTTCTTGAGCAAGAGATGGAAATAACAGAAAAAGGCAAGTTAAGGCACTAAAATCTGTTTTGTTTCCTATTATAAAATTATTTTGTATTTCTTTCATTCCTTTAAGAGTCTTCCAAATTTCCCATTATCTGTACTTCACATCAATGATAAAATCTCAGGATTCATATACCCATATAAGGCCAGCTACTTGGAAGGCTGTGACAGAAGGGCTGCCAAGTTCAAGCATAGCCTTGGATGGCTTAGCCAGACTGTCCCAAAACAAAAAAGTTTACAAGGGCGGGAATATAGCACAGCAGTAGAATGCCCTGGGGCTTGATCCGTACTACCATCAAAAAACAATAAACAGTGACCCAGTTCTATCTAAAAGCAACATATAAATTCTTTCAGAGCAACTGTAGTACTCAGAATGAGGTTTTCTCGACTAATTCTTTTTCCCTTCGCATCAAACTAAAACAGATATTTATCTTTCATTCTTTTTTTTTTTTTTTACGGGTACCGGGGATCAAACTCACAACTGCCTAATCACAAGGCAGGTGCTTATGCCGCTGAGCTAAATCCCCAGCCCCTACCCTTCATTCCTAAGATCTTGAACTCCATTTTATCTCTTATGTGACAATGTGTAAAGCCAGTGATCCTCTGCCCTTGGCGTTTAGAATAGTTTAAAGTGGGTGGGGAGGAAGAAACATTAAGATGAAAGCGACTACAAATGTGTAGCTTTCAAATTCAACTGGGAAAATACTATTATTTCCCTTACTCCGTTATCTCCCTCTAAAACGTCCATGCTATTTGACGCAGTAAAGCACCCTTTCTACAGTACTGTTCTGTTTCTACTTTGCCTCTTCCAACAGTTAATCCTTTACTTTCCCAGGTCTCTAACTGCTTCTTCTCGGGCTTCTTCAGATTGAGACTCGTCTCCTCACCCCACGAACACTCGCATTGGTGTCTTAGGTACTCTTTACCTTTTTGCCAGCGGTATCAATCACCGCTCCTCTCAATGCTTTGAGAGGTAGTAGCTATATGCTTAGGACTCCCTCCAATTTCCAGACCTCTCCTTAAAATTTCTAATTATCTTCCTTCTTTCACTTCTTGGATGTACAACACAGAATCTCAACTTTTCTTTCTTCCCTACCTTTAATTATTTCCTTTCTTACACGCAATATCCAATCGTTTTCCAAGTCCTGTTAAGTCAATGCCTTATTGCTTTATACATTTTCCATCCGCCTGGTTGGTGACACCACCTTTGGTCTTTTACCTAAAACACTCCAATCCTCTTTCCATCTTTGTATGCCACAATCTAATTTTCAAAATGTAATCAGTCATCTTTCTGAAATGTCTGATTATGTGACCCCTGTACTTTAATCTTTTCCTAAAGATAAAAGCTCAAACTGCTTACCATGGCTTACAGACAGACACAATTGGGTTCACAACATCTTTCTGGCACCTGCCAGTTCTATAGTTCTGGGCAAGTAAACAGTTTTTTCTCAATTTCCTCATGTGGAGGACAACACCAAAGGCCACCACATGGACTTGCTGTGAACACTGAGTTTGGTAACAAAACACTTGAAATAGTGGCTGATACACAAGCATTCATAAGCCAGTTATTAAGGAGCTTTGCTTTATTCATTCAACAGTGCTGAGATCATCAGATATCTGCAATACAAATAAACCAACCTCCATATCTTGTATCTTAAAATAAAAATTAACTCAATGAATGATAGATCTATAAGCCTAAAATTACAAAAGTTTCATAGAAGAAAAGCTAAGTGACCTTGTGTTCCACAATGAGTTTGGTTTGGCTTGACTTTGGCAGTACTCAGAATTTAACCCAGGGCCTTTACACTGAGCTACACTTCTCAGTTCTTTTTAAATTCCAAGACAGGATCTGGCAAAGTCAATAAATTGTCCTGGTTAGGCTAAAACTTGCAATCCTCTGTCTCAGACTCCCAGAGTGCTGGGATTGTAGATATGCACCACCAGGGCCTACTTTCACAATGAGTTTTCATATCAAAATCAAAAGCAGAGTTCAGACTGTGGCAGGAGGTTCAAAAGATTAAGACTTGTTTAGGCAAGCAACTTGGTGAGACCCAGTCTCAAAAACCTAGGGGAGAGAAACCTGTAGCTCAGATAGAGCTTCATCTAGTACATGCAAAGGTAACACTGTAAAAAGGAGTATGCAAAACTGATAAAATTAGGCTTTATCAAAATCAGAAACATATCCTACAAAGATGCAGTTAAGATGATGAAAACAAAAGTCTAGGAGAAAAGTACTTGCAAAAAACATATCTAATAAAGGATTAACATCCAGAATGTACAAAGCAATCCCCTAAATGGGCAAAAGATCACATCTGATAACATCAAAGTACACGTAAACAGAGCAAAATAAGCTGTTTCTTATTATTAACAGTACTCACAAGGTAAACATTTCATTCATCCTTAAGTTTAGTAAGCCTTTACTATCTTCAATGTCTAAGAGCTTGTAGGGACAAAAAAGAACTCAAATACGATTATTGTTTCAAAGTTTACACAACTCTCATATGCTTTCTAGTAATGGACAAGTAGCTCCCATCAGATCAAATCCTTGCACTAACTACAAATTCTAAAAACTACGTTAAACAAACAAACAAACAGAAAGCAGAAGACAATCTATACTTTAAGCACTGACATAAAGTACATTTTTTTAAAACAAATCTTTGGCCACAGGATAGCTCTAGGTGTAGAAGTATGCAAAATTCCTACAGAGAACGCTCTGGCCTAAAAAACAGAAGGGTAGCTTGGGCCAACCAAAGCTGCTTTCTCAGAAAGCAAGCAAGGAAATCCCAGAAAGACATTACCAAATTCTGTATTGTTCAAGAGCACAGCAGGTGAAACTCAATGATCTTTTCCTTTACCCTTACATTTGTGTCACAAGTGAGATTTGCTAGCACATCCCTGGCTAACAGAAATATGTTTGCAGAGAAAAAAGGTGACAAGGACAGGACATGCGAACTTCTGATTTCTGGGTGACCAAGAATCCACATGGTACGGAACAGCAGCTCTCTGTGCTCAGTAATTAAAGGTAGAAATTTCCAATGGAATTCAGAGATGAGTCAAACTCCCAAGGAGCTAGCTCACATGTCTACTTTAAATAAAAACAAGCCAGCAAAGGGCCTTGGTTACTGTTACATGAAATAGCTGACGTGAAATTGAAACAGAGTGCTAGATCAGACCTTACATCAAACCAAGCCGAGGTATTCGGTCACTGATGTCAAGGTTGCTCCTCCTTACGCTAGGACACAGAAAATACCTGAAAGGAGAGTGAGCACCAAGAAGATAGTCAATGTTGGGAAAGAGCAAAAACAAGACACTGAACACAGATGCGCAGCATGAAGGAACTTCTATTTTGTAAGTTATTCTCAGTTTTCTGAGGAGCTGTCACTGACACAGATTCTGAGAATTATTTAGAAGCAGCATCTTTGGTTCTAAATGCTGAAGAGTGGAAGAGTGTGTTAGGATTGACAAATGACTCACAGCTCACAACGGAACAATGACCAACAGTGGTGTGTGACCAGACACACACAGCAGGTTGTCACTGACAGATCAGCCACCCTGGTGGCTTCCCTGAGTAAAAGCTACCGTAGGATATGTTTACTCTTGAGAAGTCAGAAGCCAGGCCTGGTGGCTCACGCCTGTAATCCCAGCACTCGGGAGGCTGAGGCAGGAGGATCATTGCGAGTTCGAGACCAGCCTGGGCTACAAAGTGAGACCCTGTCTCAAAAAGACAAAAAAAAAAAGTCAGCCCAACTCCACCTATAAATTACAGAACACATCTGTATTAAATACTGTACTGTATAGCTATTGATGACATTTAGGTATCTAACAAGAAAATGCCTATACAGTAATGTTAAGACTGAAAGGAAATAACCCACATCTACACACAGAAATGGCAGTGTCTTATTTTGCTCTGTCTAATTTTCCTGTAGGCAGATTACTAGTTATGTGAGACACCAGGGATGTAGCCCAGCACCATGGCACACGCCTGGCAGGTGGAAGGCCCTGGGTTCAATTCCTGGTACCAAAAAGAAAAAACAAAACAAAAACAATCTCACACACACACAGACACACAAAACTTGGTTACATCCTGTATTAGTTTTCATTTAATGCATAATCTAAAAGGTTTTCAAATAGCTCACGTAGAGACCCAAGAATATGAAGTAATGTATCACTGAGTGTTAATTTTCCTTAGTGATATGATCTAATTCTGCACATATAGCTACCATTAAAAATAAGCTTACTGAGGTGAAGAACGCATTTAGAACTACAACAAATGGCATTAAAATGGGCCTAAAGTACTCTATTACATCACACTGAGCACTTTTCAGCGGGTTTTTGGAGGGGGGGGCCACTAGGTATTGAAGCCAGGGCTCTCCCACTGGCTACTCTCAGCCCTTTTTGACACAGGATCTCACGAAGTCACTCAGTTGCCCTGGGATGGGCTCAAACTCCTGTCTCCACTCACCAGAATATCAGTATAAAAGGAACGAATGTGCTGCACCTGGCTCATATTCATATTCTTATATAGGAGGTCATTTTTTTTTAAAGGTCAAAATGGAAATTAAACTCTAGGGTCAAAGGGACTAAGGACTCTTAACTATTATCAATATATAATGACTCAAAATTATTTTCTATAACGTGAATTCAATAATGAAATCAAGTGATATCTGGATAGTGATTATGAACAAATGCTTTCATATATGTTAACACAGTGCTCATTTTAAAAGAATAAACAAGCCTCTGCAATTTTGTATTCCTG